TTTCATGATCATAATGATTGGACGTGTAATATGCATGATTCATAGTTCGTTTTTAGACTACTGGTAGTAGTAGTAGTAGTAGTAATAGTAATAGTATTAATAATAATAATAATAGTAATAAGATAATAATAATAAACGTAATGATAGCATAGGAACAACAGTAGTAGTAGCAGTAGTAATTAGTTGTTGTTGTGTTAGTAGTAAAATAATGGAATTACGTCCATGTTTCTCAGTTCCTCTGAAACGGGTTTTAATTGATTATTTTCTGGCTTTTGTACCGGTTGATTCAAACTGGCGGTAACTGGCAGTGTCTGGAGGAAAAGATGATGATGTATTTGCAGAAATTTAAGTTTTGGTCTCGCTGGTAATGGTACTGCTGGAAATTCTCTGGGAACACAAACCTTATCACCCATAACGGCAGTGATTGTGGAACAAATAAAACTTTGTATTTACTGAATTTATGATTACTGAAAACATAGATTAAGAAATGTGGTGGTATTCTATATCAGTGATTTCTGGCCTGCATAGCAATTTTGACATTTTTCTACTTGTTTTAGTGTTTCAGATGAAAAGATTTTTGCTCATTAAATGATAAATTCGGTGTTCAAACTTCTTGATTCGAAGTATAATCATGTTTGCTTTGCTTATTTGTGAGATTTATTTTATCAGTTCAAAGGATTTGCTTATTTTTCCGGAAACTGAGAATGACTTTGCTTTAATAAAAATTATTTAAATCAAATAAATCATTGCCGAGGAGGGGTTGTAGAGATAAATATCTTAGAGTTCGAAGGTTACTGGTGTATGAAAGTTTTTGGATACGTGAAAGGTTAAAGTTATTCAGTGGGCAAATGTGAGAAGTGTTATCTTGATTTGAAATGAAAAGTTTCATTCAAATTCCTGTTGTTGAATTAGCAACAGTGTTACTCGGTGAGATTCCAGTGATGCGACGCAAACTTGTTTATAACTATATTTTAATAAATTGAATGTTTATTACTAATAATTTCATGCAGTATAAATTTAACCTCTACAACACACTTCACTCATCCATTTTAGCTTCTGTGATGCAGCAGACTGTTCATTTAGTTGTGGAAAGACGCAGCTAGTCCTGTTTAGATTAACTTGAAATTCTGCAAATTGTTTCCATCACTTTCTCTCAAAAATTGGTGAACGTCCACTGGTGTCTTTATCATTCTCACTATAATCCTTATCATCATTCTTCTCATCAGTTATATTATAATCAGTGTTTCGTCATTACCACCACCATCTTTCTTAGCATGCTTATCACTGTGACTAATAAGGTTTAGCCGTTAATCCATTCTGCCTCCTAACCGTGATAATTCTTACCTAAAATCCATGAATTGATGGGATATTTCGTTGCAGAATTATTTTTCATGATCTGATTGTCTTGAAGATGCATTTTGGAGACTTCCTTCTTAGTGTAAGAATATTGGATGCAGAAATGAACGGCGCAATTTGTTAATTATTTTCTATTAATAAATAGTTATAATTCTTTTTTATCCGTCACGTCTTTTGTTACTTTCAATGCCATGTTTGTAGTTATGACCAGTATCATTGGTAGCGGTTGAAATTTGCTTCAATGTTCATTTTAATACTTGGAACTTCACTTTATTTTGTAGAATTTTGTGTCTTTTGTTCAACCACAAAATCAATTTTTTTTAAAAAAAAATAGTCAAAAATTTTGAAATTTGAAAATTTTCCCTGAAATTTTGCGAAGTTTAAGAGTGGGATGAATGGTAAGTAATTAGTGCATTTCATTAGTAAGATTCATTAATGCTAGCAGGAGTAAAACAGCAAACTATATGATTTATGCTATAGCAGATGTTCAACCAAATTTTTCACTTTTTTCTTCATACTAAAGCCAACAAAATTTTTTATCTTTTTGTGCTAGGACGAATATTACTGGGGAAAGTGAATAGCGCTGCTGTAAAATAGAAAGATTTGGAAGCTGAACTGAATTTTGGTACTTGGAGAAAGTATTTTTTGATACCTTAGTAGATCTCTTTCAGATTTTGCCCAGGACCGACTTAAATTTCAGAGGTCTACGTGCACATACAGACTTAATATTTTTTAGAGTGTTGTTGTTTGTTGAAAATCAAACCTAAAAATTGCAGACTGTCTGATCGAAGAGGATGTTATATGAAAGGTCAGGGTGTTCCTTTTAATAATATGAATGAATATGATTCTTGATTGAGTTGTCATAGATTGGAAATCTTCGAGTTTGAAAAAGTTCAAAAATTGCTCGCTAAAATAGCTGTTATCGTAATGTTGGAAGGGTGACAACGGTTGCTTGTTATCAGTGTGCTACTATCGAGTGTTAATTTAAGATTATAGTGACGAGATATTGATAAATTCATTCAACTGTAGTCATAAAAAAAGAAATTTATCGATGTATTTTGAGGGAAAAATGAGTCAATTGAAATCCTGTGAGGTTCACAATCTCTATTCAAAAATGCTGCTTCACTTTAATTATTTTCCCTTATCAGAATAACAGCCAACTTCCCATAAAACAATTTGCGAGCATCGGGAATCCTCGGGAAACAAGAGCTCTCTTCTGTTTACTCTCTTCTATTCATTTCATTCATCAATTACTTACAATGTTTTCCCCAAGATCATTCATAGCACATATGTCTGTCAGTCCCCTCTCTCTCTCTCTCTCTCTTTGTGTGTCTGCCTAACAATACAGTGTACAGTAGACATAAATAACGGAAATGGGATTTTTTGTTACCTCACATGTTGGCTTCCCCTCGAATTACTTATTCTGATGTTTGGTATAACCTTATCGATCGAGACAGTGCCATAATGGTTTGCATCGAGGAGCTCTGCTGATGGAATTACTCGATTTATGTGTTGAAGGATAGACAGATTTCCTTTGTAGAACGAATAAGCATATGACTCTCTCTTTCATCCGCCTCTCTGACCACGTGATTCGACGCGTGGTAAAAATTTCTTGAAAATTGGTACTGGACAATTTATTTACATACATATATGATTATTGAGATTATACTTGTATATTTGAGGGTTGATAGTTTGTAGAGTTTTGAACGCGAAGAGCACGAATTCTTGTTATATAAACATGAATCTGAATTTTAGGAATAAATTTGACTTTACGGTTCACGTAAAACACTGTTTCGTTAATGCATTTTTTCACATGGACAAGTGTTAACCTTTATCACGTTGGGTCCAGTTTGAAATTCGAGCTTATAGATTAAGTGTAGTATGAGAAAAAGGCGAGAAAGATTGTTTTTTGCTCGAAATTTTAAATATGTAGAAATTAAGCACTGGTGGCAGTTTGTTTATCAATACATCGAAGTATCATTTATTACTTATGCTGTTGCTATAGTAATATAATGTGATAAATTTTATCAAATTTGAAAGCTAAAGGGAAATGACGTGACACATGCCCCATATACATTTATTACTTTATTTACCACCTCAGATTACATGGTTTAAATTTGTTTGTTTATGAATTAGGTGTAAATTTCATGTATTTCTTCGATAAATTTCCCTAACTTGTTCAAGTTTAAAATGAAAATGCTTATTTTCGTGGAACAGCAAAAAGGAAGAGTTATTGAACAAATGTATAAAGAGCTCTAGATCATCACTATGAGCGCTAGTCCATGGTGATGGTGGGTACAGTGATACTAAGTGGTAGTGATAACGATGTTAATCATGATAATCGCGATTACTAATCAAATTGTTTTCTTGATACAACGTGCCGCATTAAATCTCATTCCTTAATGTTATACTTCATTTCCCTTTTATTTTTTATAGGTTTCCACTATTTTGTACAGTTTATAACTTTAGCTTACTTTTGAGCTTAATCGTGAAACCGGTCAAGGTATTAGCCCAAAGTAGTAGTTGACAATCCTGTTGTATGCATAAGTGTCGCTTTGGTTGTGGCGCTTCCTGGTCAAATTTCAAGGACGAATGTTGGCATTCTCTCCAGTATGCGCATATATGTTTATATCTGTTTCCCTATCTATATATATATATATATGTGTGTGTATGTATGTATGTGGGTGGATGGATGGGTGTCAGTGTGTGGGTGGATGGGAGGTGTTTTCCAAGGCCATCATATAGTGCGGCCATTTTCCAGTAGAATTGTGAAAAAGTGTGTGAATGTTTTATGGTTTGACTTATCACCACTGGACTCCTTGTGCGTGAATAGTTTTGTAGTGCTATAATGATGACGAAGAGGTGTTAACAATTGATGAGATGAAGTTGAAGAGGGGTGGGTTCAGCCTGGATTTATAATAACAAGGTTTAGGGATTTTGGCTGATTACAATTTCATGATTTTGTATATATATTTTGGTATCATTAGGCGAATGATAAGCGGCGAATTATTGTTTTAACTGTTGGCTGTTTTGACCGCTTCGAATTGTGCAGGTTAGGAGTTTTTCCTTTCTAAACTTAAAATTCAGCTCTCAGTGATAGGAAAACTAAATGAAATGTACATTCACTGTTTCAGGGATTACTGATGTGACCTATATAACGGAGGCACTTTATCGTCCTCTCATCAATTTTACAACGCTTTATTCTAATTCAAAACACACTTTTCATACAGACACATCTTTTAGTTCTGTTTTGAATAAACTTACTAGTTCGTTCATTATTTGTTCATCTTCGGTTACAGTGTTTCTAATGGTACCATGCAGATACAAATATTGCTGAAGAAAGTATCTCAAGTTTCTCCCGAGACAAATGAATGTTTGAACAGCAGGATTTTTTCAGCAGAAAAGTGTTATTTCTCACTTATCAGGATAATATGTGATGCTTGGTGGCCTTGGAAACTCTGATCTTAAACCTAACGTATGTGATGATGTCTGAACGTGTATCCCTTTATCCGGATCGTTCTGTGTCAATGATAAATCAGTTATTTCATAATTGTATGTTTACAGGAAGTAATTCCTTCTTTGTGCTGATAAAAGAAATAAATAATGATGGAAAGACAATTGCAAAGCGAAGAATCAGCTTTTAAATGGATTTGTTCTTTCGGCGGTAAGTATTTCGTATTTCCACGAAGGAAGTTGCTCATAGGATAAACTCAATGTAGGAGACAGGTAGGTGAGAGTGGTACTCATTTCTAATGTCACGGAATACAACAAAGCAAATTGAAAACTCACACACTTTCCGATTCAGGTAAAATAAAGAATGCATATATGTTTTAATTTTCTTATTTATTCAAAGGACGGAATCAAATTATATAATGTTCCTGTTATCATTTTTTAAACATACTGTCTTTAGAAATTTTTAATCTAGTCATTGACTAAAATGTTTTTGACTCCATTCAGCATTTGTTTTTTCTTTCCTTTTTATTTAGATATAAATTTCGATAACAGTCAGTTCTTTAAATATCTTCACTAAATTCAATTTCAAAATTTGATATGTGTCCGGTATTGTGTTTGAAATAGAAATGAATGGACGTATACATATATATATATGTGTGTGTGTGTGCCATTGTTATCATACAATGTATAACGATTCCATTGTTCATTTCATTATCATCAAAAAGTAGAAAATGTTAAACGTGGGGGTGGTTTGTAGATGAATGGGAATGTTTACCGTCATGCCACGGCTACCTTTTCTCTTTTTTCTTTAATTTCTATTTTAAATATACTTAATTATACAGGTAGTGACTTATAGTTATGTGAGTAGGAGAAATTAGGATGAATATGACTATACGTAATTAAAATGTAATTAAGAGTACACGCTTATTTTTCTTGGTTAATGTATGATGCTAATGGCATGCTTAATTATCAGAAGTCTATTCAGAATTTACAATTTTTCCTGGTACATCTTTGAGAATGAATAATCTCTGACGTTTATCCTCTTCTGTTTAAGTCGGCTTCATGGTTTTTCAGTTCTTAAAATGTTATAAAGCAAACGTTTAGATATAGAGGGCACCAGTATAAATCAAATTACTGTCTACCAATGAGATATATTAGATGTACAGAAAGATCTTATCACATAGGTCATGTTATAATTGTAAATCAAATAACTTTTTCATAGTCTATAATCGGTTTTGATCAACTAGTATCGGAGGTTTGCTATAATAACATTTCTAAATGTTACTGTTGCTAAAGGTTAAATGTATTACGATTCGGTTGCAAGTTTGAAGATTTTCCTTTTTAACTTGGAAAATTTTTTCCTGGAAGAGCTTCAAGACTTTATGTTCATTGAATAAGAGCTGCGTATGTAACGGTTGAATCACTGCTTATTGAACGTAGTGGTGCGGTTTTGTCATACAGTTTGATCTATAAAATAAATGACTAAACAACTCATTTCAAGAGATTTAAAGTTAAAATTTAAAGGAAATGCGATAAACTAATGCAGTTGAAGCCAACTGAATTGAAATTCTGGATGATCAGTGAACTGTACAGAGTGCAGCAAATCACCATGTGCTCTGATCTTTTGTTGAACGCTATTTCTGGAACATTCAGCATTTCTGGATAATTATTGTCCAGAAATAATTAGTTTCTCTCTCTCCCTTCTTTTTCTCTAAACGTCGTTTAGTCTTAAATCAAAAATTATTCCTTTGCAAATCATAAAGAAATTTTTTTATGATGATGTTTGTTTGATTTGTTGATGTCATCTGAATCTCTGAGAAGCAAAAAAAAAAACCCTGAGAGATGTGATGGAATTCCTCTTCCTATCGCCATTTATTTTCAAATGTCCAAAAATTTTCTTTTTTCGACTTTTACTGTTAAAACGACCTCTGATCAGCTTAAATCCTATTAAGAATATGATATTATAGAATTTCGAAGAAATCCCACTATCACTATTAACACAGGATTTTAAAATCCTGTGTTAATATTAATAATGATGGCCAGCAATATCCTTATAGGCAGTCAAATTAACCAAAATACTCTTATAGAGACTTGGATTCATTCATGTTTTAAACATGCCATTCTGAATAACCGAAAAAAACTAACAGGTATAAAGTGCTTTGGATATAAGAATGAGATAGATGAAGAGAAAAAATAAGGAGGACACTAAGAAATTGAAATTTGACAGTTCTGTAGAGAGTGTTCCTCTGTCCAATTGCCTGCCCGATTTTCCAGAGTATCTAAGGCTATATGTTGTAGATAGTGAGGGTCAGATGGCGATGATGACAAGTGGCGAATGTTAAAAAGTCACTATCAAATTCTGACAGCTATAAAGTGCTTTGGATTTATTATCGAAATCAATCAAAAATATTCGCCTCTGTGTTGTCTTCCTGTTAATAATATCCGGCACTCTTTTTTTGCATTTTTTCGGAACGATATTTTTGCCACGCAAATTAATCAGAAAAAATGTGCAATGTAACAAAGAACTTTTTCACTTAAAAGTGTGGGAAGAAAACCGATATTTGATACTTTGTTTTCAGTAAGATTGAAATAGTTGAAGTACAGTAAGTTGTATATAACAGTGATTTTACTGAAAAGGAGGTGTATTGAAATCATCTTAAATTACCAGTCTAGTAAAACTCAATACGGATAATATCACTGTCATAAATGCAACTCAACTTAGCATCCAGTAGCTTCTCGGTAAGGTTAACTAAGTTTTTTACTACCCACCTGAAACATAGAGTTATGTTTTTTATATTTGGATTATGCAATTCCAAGTCGCTATTATTATATTGTAATAGAATATTTGCGGATGATGTAATGATAAGGTAAATAATAATGTTAAGGTGTATCTAAAGTTGTAACTTCAATGCTAGATTAATATTTTGGGAAACAGTGTGTCCTTTCCATGCATTTTTAAAATTAAAGGAAGTGAGGAAGAATTATGAAATAAAAATTTATCTTGAAGTTACTGTTTCTGTATCTATCATCATCGTTTCAGACAAAATCTCTCATTTGCTTCATAAATCAAGAAATATCGAGACAGTTGTCATACTCTTTCTTCCAGATATCTCTTTTTCATACCTCATTTTTTGAATTTCTAATCCCTGCATAGAATTCTTTGCTAATATCATGGCATAAATGAAAAATGACTGTATCTATAACTTTTATGGTTCATTTCATCTATTCAATTAACAGCTATTTTTTCCTTTCTGTATTTTAATGAATGGAAAAATATAATGTAGAGAAAGAAAATTCTGCTTTTTCATAGCTGCCATTTGATATCAGAATTAGTTAGTATAAGTTCGAGATGATTCCTTACCTGTCATTTATGTTTTCAGTTGATAATCAAATTCTTCGCTTTATTTTGAATTAACAACTGTCAGCGTTATATAGCACATAGCAGAAGGATGTGCTACTTATTTATATGAATGTGCACATCTCCGCTACATACATACATATGTTAGTCACATACTTAGTCATATACTGTCAACTTGACAGTATATGACTTAGTCACAATTGCATTTCTTGATTACCTCAGTTTATTTATTAGTTGCTTCATGTGACAGATATTTTTCAGTAAACAATCAGGAGAAAGAGATAAGAAAGAAACATAACACTTTCTTTTATCAATTTAGGTTTTTTTTTTTTTTATTTCAAAGACTTTTTAATACTTACGGATGAAGCTTATGCATCGTTTTTGAATGGAATTTCATTTCATTTTATGAAATATACTTCATCTTTTATCTATATCATTCACTTTCATTTACTGATAATTGTACCGTCTTTTAACGTAAGAAAAGTCAAACTTGAGTAGAATTCATACTGACCCTGTTTTAATAACTCTTTTGAACTGTGGATTTTGAGACAAAATTTTGAGACAAACCGTGGAGGATATCACTGGTGCCATATAATGGCAATATCAACTGATTTCTTGCATCTTTAACGATGTATAACTTTTCGAGATTACATGCAAAATATGAGAAATTACCAACAGTCTGGTTTTATTTTGGACGCAAATAATTTTCTTGTATTATTTCTACAGTTCATCGTTCTTTCTCATAAATGTCTCTCTCCACTTTTTTCTTATTATTACCAAGTAAGGAAATCTGTGGATGAAGTAATGAGATTACGAAGTTGCACGAGTATTTATAAGTGATTCAAATACTCATTCCATTTTAACTAGAGATGGGGGAATTTTTCTGTCTTTCATTTCATTGTTGAACTTACTCAGCTGATATTTCCAATAAATTATAGAATCAGTATGAGTGTTCCACTGTCCATGGGTCCTATGTTGCTAATGGAGAGCAGACAGACAAACGGTCCGATGTATCACGGTGCTCATTACATGCAGCCTGGACCGCCACCATCATCCGCAATACCAAATGGTACTCATATTCCGCCCAATTTAATACAATCGCATCATTCAGTGCACGGGCAAGCTGCTGCATCCGGACAGCACATTATCACATCCTCAATGAATAGGTCTCAAAGGTTGGTATTTGTGAAGATGCTATCATCATCATCTCAAAATCGAAAATAAACTGGAACTTTTCAAATTCGGTAAAATCAAATTTCTTCAGTTAACTTCAAAATGTTTAAAATCATGATCTGTTATTACTCACTAGATATTTTAAAATACTGCTTTGAGGTAATTTAAGATGTGGTGTATGCCGTGGCTGTCAATGTAAACCATGTGGACAGTGCACTTATTGTCAGGACAGCCCACAGTTTGGTGGTCCAGGTGTTAAGAAGCAATCTTGTATCGAACGAAGATGCTTACGCGTACTTGAAAACAGATTGCAGGTTTCTAAGTCATGTTTTGTATTTCTTTTATTTGCATGATTATTACTGGTTTTCCCAAACCTCATAAGTTACCTCAAAAAAGGGAATTATGGTTTTTGAAATCCAAAAACAGCATTAATTAATAACTTCATATTCATATCACTCTACTCTAATATTAGCAGAATGCATCTATTTTGTCTAACAATTTTTTTTGAAAAAAATATGCTACAGACACATTTTTGGTTTGAAATACTTCAATTTAATTTGTTACAGAGAGATGCACCGACGTTCAAAGCTCGTGTTGGATGTAATCAGTGTGAAGACTGTCGGATGCCCGATTGTCAAATATGCCTTGTATGTCTTGACAAAAGGTCCATTCAGTTACATTTTTTTAAAAAAATGGGAAGCAGTTGGGTTTCTACGAATTTGTAAATATCTTATTGGGAAAGTTATTTAAGCCATATTTTTCAAGAAAATTCGAAAATCATCCAAAACTTAGTGATCGGATTATTTGAAATACCTTTTTAAGATTTTTCGATAACCGATATATGACTGGTGCAATGTGCGCCAAGAAACGCTGTAATAATGCCACAAGCATAGAACTACCTGCTGCACAAAATGCTGAATTACGACAGGTATGCTGATGTCCTAAGTGATACTCTTCTAATTCTGCAGTGATAAAATATCCTATCTTAGGGGAGACCTTGCTGATTTACATCTGTGACGTCCTGAAATAGTTTGTTTGTTATTTATTGTAAGGTTAATACAATTAATACTATAATAGTGTTTTTTATTGCCCTTTTTTTGGCTACATTATTCACTGAATTATCACTAGGGTATTTCAGGCACATAAGAGGACATACGAACAGTCAGGAATGACGGATTATCAGATTATGAAACGTCGCGTTCATCAAGGTCTGGAACAGCTGGGACAGACGCAACAACAACGCATCCTGAATATGCCAGCACAAGCGGTTCTGAATGGACAAGGATGCCCTACCCCACCGAGTGCCACCGCTCTTTATGTTAGCCAACAAATGCGATTGGTGTCATCCCAGTCGGGAACACCGCAGCAGTTACTTATCGTCCATCATCAGCAACAACAACATCATCCTGGAACTGGGTCTGTTGTTCCATCCACCACTGCACGATGTGCAGAAACGACTGCGATCAGCACCACCCAGGAATCAGTAACAGTCGCAAATTCCGGTGCACTCTCTGGTACCAGCAGTGGTACCATTCATATGACGCCACAATCGCGACATGTACAGCATCCCGCACCTCAATACATACAGCAGATACAAACACAACATGTTTCCCATCCGTATCTGATTGTGGGAGCTGGATCTAATGCCTCATATCTTCCGAGCTACATTGAAGAACGTGTGGTGCCTCAGTCGGATCCATTTACACCACCGAGTTATGCACCGGAAATGAAGAATGTTGTCGTATTGCAGCCCTTATGAATCGCTCCAGAATTAAAGATTTATAGTAGGGTAGTACGTTTTCAGTAAATTTGAACTGAGCCAATTCGATCACTTTGAATTATTTCATGTCATCAAGCTTTTTCTCAAGGGCATTATTTCAAATATTCTTGCCGAGTTTCCCAGTGTTTCATTTCCCATTTTATTTACTTACATGACTTTTGAATGTTGTGATTTCTTGGCTGTTACTCATTGCCTTCTTATTTTTCTCCTGCGACATATTCCTTTTCAATTTCTCACATATTCCTTTTCAATTTCTCACTTTATCACTTTATTCTACGTGTCCTTCCTACCTTCATATATTGCTGTAAGGGCACAGTTTTATGACCATATATCCCGAAATGAATTACTTGAATACCACACGTGTCTCAAGATCTAGTGAAGTTATGCTAATCTGATATACAAACGTAAAGACTGGCTCTATTTCTAAGAGGAAAGAGTTTGAATTCAAAGTGGTTTATAATTTCCCATGCCATTTTTGATCTCATGTCTTTATTTAAACCAATAAAATTCAAATATATGATAATGGGGAGGGACTAGACAAACGTAGTGTGGAGTATAGCATAAGTTCCATCTAATTTAAGCTGTCCTATTTCATCGCATGTCTTCAATATACTTAAACGATGAATTTGAATGCATCTTGAGGAACTTTCAGTGGTCTCATCCTGAAATTACAATTTCTTGTTTTTGAGCAGCAAAGATCAGATAATATCTCCAATAGTTGTATTCACATACGTTTAAAAACTTCCATAAGATAGCAACAGTCGACTTCTCCATGTGGTAGTCTTCGTGTTTGGCAGCCAGATTTACTAGTGAATACTAGCTTTGGTTGGGATTATTATTTGAAAATAAGTGAGAGCAGAATTATACCATCTTAACTAACATATAAGTAAATCGCATATGGTTTTGTATTATAATTCCTCTTCAATTACCAGTTCCTTCTTAATTACAACAGTCACTTCAATTACTGTTTTTTTTTTTTTTTTTTTCAGTGTTCTCTACTTCAAATATATATAGTGAGGTCAGTGCCTTAACACCCATCGTTGTTCCTCTTTTTCCATAATCTTAGTAAAGTTTGCATGTTTTCATTTCTACGGCTTATTTTCGTTTGGATCAAAAGCATTTCTTATTTAAACTTTTTTGGTGCTTGCCTATAATTATTATAATAGATTTTTGAGTTTATGAATAAAGGTCAGAGTCAGCGTTCAACTGGGAGGAGAAAATATCAGTTTATTTTCATTCTTTAAGGAACATTTATGAGCGTCCTCAAAACGTACAGTCATTTGGGATTTCGTTAGCTACGCTATCGGTTAACACCAATGCGGGAATGAAGTATTCAGTTCAGTCCATTCCGCACCGACTCATTTTGCATTTCAACGATTCGTGACATAACAACATGGTCTATTAGATTTTCATTCAATAAATTTTGCGAAATGAAGAAAATAAACTTCAACTGAACCGTTTTCCCCTCAATATCCTCTGGAAAATTGTATTTCAGTCCTTTCTGTCGCCGAGCATCCTAGCAAAAATATTGATTCCGCCTAACATTCTGAAGCCTAAACAAAGTAAGATGTACTTAAATATGAGGATAAAGATTAGAATGTACTTAAATAGCTCGCTGTAAAGGACAGAACTTACCGAGCTGCCGCCATTCAGATATCTGAATGTTGTCTCCTATGTTCCTCTTGAAGTTTCGTGTTTTCTGTTTCGGAGTAGTCATTGTATTGTGTGTAATAAAAAGCAATAAAAATGTATCCAATTTATTCCAATTCATTTATGTTTATTTAAATTTGCCCAAATAGCCGAACTGTTGGACTTACTGATTTATTGAGAGACGAAAGTGAGTAAAATGTGACAACTCTGAGTCAGCTTAAAATTGAATTTTTCTTTCAGGAAAATGACATCTAAACCTGTTTGGATATTATTGCTCACTTAGAGTATTGGGTCCAATTGTTACGTATCCCAAGATCCTTAAGCGTAACTTGTGTTCCACACATTGAATAACGAAACGTACATTTAACAAGTATAGCAATCCAAACTTTCATAGGCTCATTTGAAAATGTTTTCTCATAAAAATCTGCAGCCATAAATTTTAAACTTTTGCTGACTATAATATAATACTAAGATTCTACGCCTTTCATCATCAGAACTGAGATATTATTCCAGATGTGGGAAAGTGCCATGGAAATGATAAAGTCAAGTGGAAGTGAGTGTTGAAATTAAATTCATCTTTTTTAGGAAGTTGAAATTGAAAATTGTTCATAAATTCGAAAAGTTCGTACAGAATATGAATTATGAATTTTTCTTATTTCCTCTCTTCATCCTATTATTCTCTTGAACATTTCGTCACTAGCAGAAATAAAACGAAGAAACACTTTCATAGTCAGGTATAATACCGATACTAAGAGTTCCTGCAAAAGAATCCGTCTATGCGAAGCGATACAGAACCTGAAGTTTCTAAAGATATGAAAAAACCTAGTGTTGGAATTTTTAAATTTCTAAATATAATGTCATTTCTAAACAAAAAGACCGAAAATTTTTTAAAAACACAAACAAGACAACAAAAAAATGGAGAAGTATCGGATAGAAGAATAAAGCTCTAGAGTTTTTTGGTTTACTTGGCCATAAGGCCCTCCTGTTCCAATTCTTCCACCTGATGATGAAGTTGATCACGTTGGGGTAATAATATCGATAAAATTGCTTTCGTTCTCTGCATTTATTTCATGTCTCACTAGTACTGTTAGTTCTTTGGTCAGTATCTTCATTGCTGAAAATTTACTGCTCATTTTGTTTCGGAGCCCATTTCCCTAAATATCCGTCTCAGAAAATGAATAAATTTTCAAATAAACTTCTGGAATACTATGAAAAATCTTTTTATAAGATTGTCAGAAACATTACGTCTTCTCGTGATCCAAGTGAACTGGCATGCAAACCCAGCAAATCAACTCTAAACGTTTTATCAGGTGATGCTGTCGGATCAACGTCGTTTTAAGCTCATCATCAGCACTTTCTCCTATTATCAACTGCTCTGTAAAACAATCTATAGTGTTAATAATCTATTGACAATCCGAATTACAAAAGTTTTGAAAGTTTTAAAAAAACTCGGCACGCCATATAATTCGTGCGATAAAAACTTTTCAACAAGAAAAGTGGATTGAGATAACAAAAATCGAGGGTGTTGAAGAAAAGATTGAAAGAAGTTATTCATAAATGTTAATTAAGAAAAAAAGCAAAATTGAATTTCTTCATGAAACATGTGACAATAATAATTGATATCTGAATTGCAGTATCGAAACTACAAATTTTGAATCATATAGCTTGAAATATTTATAAATTATTCCAGTAAATTTTAAGCTTTAAAATAAAGGAGACTGTGAGATAATATTCACAAATAAAAATAAGTTTCCGGAGCATGTTATGCAAAGTAACAAGTGTGAAAGATGGTGAGATCAAATTTGCGAAACAAAAAAGAGATTCTAGTGAAAACAACCAAACGCATCAAGAGACTCATAAAAATATGGACGAAAAACAAAGTACAAGTAATGAAGTAGAGATCACCTTCAGCTAAAACTCCTGAAACAAAATGAAAAAGAAAAAATACACAATGAAAAATAATTACTGACAGTTATGATTAATGGACTGACAAATAAAGCAACAAGAAAAATCGGTTCTTAAAAACATAAACAGATGATGGCGGTTAAAAGCGTTTGCTAGCTCAAATACAAATCCAGATAGAGTAGACAACAACAACATTAATGTTTGCTCCATAAACAGTCAATTTTTTTTTTTTTCATATGAATTAACATCATATCTTTGCCACCAACTACGTATTTTATGAAAGAATTAAGAAGGGGGAGAAAGGAAGATATCATACAATTTTATAATTTTCTTTTGGCCGCTAATTCATCTGGCAGTATAAAATATAGATAGACATTACTATGAGAGAAATTTTCTAACAATAATTGTGCAGACATAAATTAAGAAAACAAAAAATGTCTTTTCTTACAGTAATTCCTTGCAGCACGTTGACAATCCTTTAAACAAACATTCCACATTCGAAATCAAATAAATTACAACTGCTTGGAAGCATTGAGTTTTTGAATCCGTTCAATTGCTTTATCAAGAGAACTGTTCTTGGTAATAGTGCTTCTAGCCAAGTTGCTGTTGCTGCCTGGTGATACCATTGTTGGTGACCAGTGGTACGGTTTCGATTCTAATTTCATTAATTCCGCAAGATCCTATAATTACAAGTAGAGCTACCATCAGCATAGTCAGCAAAACTACAAAATGAAAACCACAAAAAGAATTAATTTTGGATCTCTAAAAAAAAACTTCAGTACAAGTGATGTTAGAGTTTCCATTTTCTCAAATAAGAAAAAGATTTGTAATCGAAAAAAAATATTTTCTTATATTTTTTTTCTTACGCATTAAATCCTAATAGGAAAAAAATTTTGCTCTAGGAATAGATATATACAAACTACTTTACAATGCATTCAGGCATTGAAAATGAAGACTATGACTCAAATGCGACAAGAATTATACTGGCTGTTATATATCCTAAGCAGTAAAACAGTAAAAACTAAATAACTAAAAACAACTCGTATAAGAAACAGATTAACCTGCTTCCACCGATCACTGTTATTTTTTCCATTTGCTGAATTTCTTTTTTGACCGTTGTCCCCATTTAGAAGATTTTCAGCTCTCAAACTTGCCTGTAATTTAGATTTTACAAAAACTGAGACAGAAAGAAATGTAGCAGTAGATTCACATTTTCCACTAGTTTTAAAAAGTAACTCTAATTAGTCAAAAAATTTCGTATAAACCTTTTGTCGAGTTCGATAATTATGAAACCAATTGCTCACAGTCCTAGTACTCAAAGAAAGAGTCTGCGAAAGTTGCTCAATTGTCCGTTGATTCGGATGCTGGTCACGTTCAAAAACATGTTTCAGTGCTTCTTTTTGCTGGTCCGTAATAACTGTTCTCTATAATAATTCGGATGCTGGTCAATAATAATAAAACAAAAGGAATTTTATTTCAAACTTTACTATCGAGTTTGAAATAAAAGCTTTGAAACTTCAAAAATTCAAAAATCAGAAATATTTTTGAACATGGTTGAAATGTTATTGAAGATTAGTCAATTAATCCTTTATGCTACGTTACGATGAATCTTCCCCAAAAAGTCAGAAATGAAATTAAAAAAACCTGTGCTTTCTTCGGCAGCTCGCCGGTAGCTGTATTCAAAGCTGCTTTTCTTTTCTGTGGTGACAGAGTTTTTGTTAAAGAACCTGTAGATGTCAACGTATCCACCATACTTGAAAAGGTCGATGTGAGAGATGAAGAGAGCAACGCAGTGGAAGTAGATGTCTCCTGTATCCTATTATTTCCATCTAATTCACTGAGCCATTCGCTCATCTTGAGATACAAGTCACGAGCGCGTGGAGATAACTGTTCCCAAGTTTTTGGTTTGGTCAGGAGCTCTGATACACCCCCTGGACTTACTCCCAATATTACATCACCAAATGTCTGGAAAAGGAGAATGGGTTAAACAGTAGCGAAAGTTAGTAAGAACAAATTTAATCCAGAAATGATAATTAAGAAAAAAGGTGTTTATGTAAAATATAACAAGATGAAAGAGCTAAAACAACTGAATAACTGAATAAAAAGTGACAAGAAATATAATTACAAGAGATATAATAAAAGGAAAGAAAACATTATCTGAACGGATGCATTATTTAGCAAGTTCGAAATCAATAAATAATCTTATAATATTTATATGAATAAAAACAGACTTTCTGAGAAATTCCACTGCTGTGCAACCGATCCTTGACCTGTCGCGCAATCTCACTTGTATCAACCATTGACAGCTCTTTTTTCACCCTCCGCACCATTTTTTTATCACCGTCATCCATGACCGAGAATTTCTTAATTTCCCGCACTTTTTCAGTATGGCATTTCACAATCTATAGAGAAATAAAAGCAGATATAAGGATTTTTTTAGATAATTCAAGACCACAATTAATTTTAATTCAACGCACAATTAATTTACTGGAAGGATAAATCCTATCTCATTGGAATTTTTTTCGTAGGTTAGGAATGTACAGCTAAAAAATGCCAGGCAAGGCAATCTCTTTTAATATATAATTGTTCAAACTGAAAAAAAAATTGCATTGACCGTTCAAAAATACACTTCAATATTTATGCAAGCTTTAGAATATGCGTTTTGTGTCCCCGATTACTTATTTGTATGCAGTGAAAATTAACCTCATGATCAATTTCGTCACCTGAAGGAAAGTTTCGCATACTTAGCAAGCCGCTAATCGAATTTTGCTTTGCACCATTGTTTCTTTCATTCCTAGGCAACACTTCCGAAGACTGAAGTGCACCTAACTTTCCATTCAGCTCTGCAAAAAACCTTTCTATACTTCGGGATCTCATCAGGATAAATAAAGCTTTTTAATTTTTTCTTTTACGTGACTCAGCACTCGGTAATAACGCGATGATTTTGGTAGTTTAAAAATAAAAACAAGACAGATACAGCACCTTCTTCAGGTTTACAAACCAAAGATTGAGCTTCATTTAAGAAAAGCTGCATGCGCACAAACGGCTCTCGTCCTTTCTGCGTCAACATGGCCCACGGTTTTGGCCTTGCTAAAAGATCCGAAACAGATCCCTGTGAAAGACCAAGTACATGCTCACCAAACTGACGTTGAGATATCGAATTTAAACAAAGGAAATCTTTGATCTGTAAATGAAGATACTAGTCAAACGCAATAATTCCGATGTCGAGAAAAAAATCTCTTAGACTGTGAGCTGTAGGCAGATAATACCTTCTTAAGGTGTGCAACAAAAGAAAAAAAGAAAACAAAACAGTCAAGCAACGTTGGAAAATTACTTGTCTCACGATATCTTCAGTATCCAATACCGGATAACGTTCAAGCTCCTCTTGCGTTATGGATGCCATTCCACTGCGACATTTCAAAGCAAACAAAGCTTGAGCAGAATTTACAGGAAAATTTGATTGCGGCGGTGAATTGGTATCTCTTGTTGATCCGCAATGAGATGACGATGATGACAACGAAGATGATTTATTCGATGTTTCCACTGTTGGAAGCTATGAACAAGTGTGATAGAACATTTCGACTCATAAACTTTTTGATAAACTAAAGGATTGAAAATTTTCTGAAATACTAAGGCACGACAGTAATGGAGGTAAATTTTCTTCTTTTTCACTTGCTTTCCTTTTATTTCTCCTTCGTTTTAGAATAATTAGAATCGCTGACACAACAAATTCATTGCAATTGAAATAAATGTTGCGAATATCAGGAAATAACATACTTACCTTTTCATCTTTAGTTCTTATACTTAAAGGCCGTGAACCAATTGCCTGTTCTAGATGAGATTCCTGAAATTGGTAAATTCCGTTCCCAGCAAATGATGTCTATTGAGATCATGAATTGTAACTGTCATCGCACACTCTGCCATCACATTAACTTGTAAATTTGGCTAATTTACCTGCTCCCTTAACAGTGCCAATTCACGTTTGTATATCTTCATAATTTTTTCTTTCGGTATGTCGTCATGTCGCCATCGACTTGTACGTTGCGCAACTGAATTCACGCTACCACCACCAGCTGCAGCTGATAACTTGTCACGCTGCTTCAACTAAAAATACAAATACTGATCGACGATAAGAATAACGCTCCTTTAATTAGCGCACTAAAGTTTCGCAATTTCAAACTTTTAAACTAAGAGAAAATGAAAATGCTTCCAAATAAAGAGAACTGACTGAACTTACATCGCCTGGAGTGACTTTCGAAGACTGCTTTTGTACAAATAAATCGAAATTATCATCTGCATTATATCTGGAGACCGCAGCTAACGAGACAGCCTGCTGATCCCACAAAATTTCACGCGATGGTACTTCAATCTCGATTAATCCTGATATATGTAAAATAAAAAAAAAACAATCCGTTCAATGAACTAAAAAACCTGAGTTTACAGAGACGAAATCAAAAGCATATATTAGTGTAAATTTTTATATGAGGATAAATAGAATAAAGAAAACCTAACCCACTGGTTGAGTTCGACGGGGTGAGATATTACACAACAATTCAATAGCTTTAGGATCTGAAACCCAGCCATACATGCGTCGAAACGCTTCTCGTCCTTTATCAGTGAGTTTATTCCAGTGCCTTGGTTTAGACAATAATTCACTGAGTGATCCCTGTGACTGCAAAAAATGTGCTTACTTATGAATATAAATATTCGTCCCAGTTTAAAAAACAGTTGAAGTAAATATGGCTACGGCGATGAAATTCCATGTGTAAAATTTAAGAAAAATTAATTCAGGGAATTGAAATGAAAGACGAAAATTAGAGAATCAAATACCTTGACTACCTGGTTCATGACGTACTTCGCGAATAACCGCTGTCCAATATTGTGGGTAACCATTAAATGTTTGCATTGCTTTGCAATTTCCGTCGTATTCAAAGCCTTTGTACCTAATTCATGAATATTTCTGGTAACAATATCCTGCAAACATTCATATTCAAAAAAATAAATGATATACTTTATAGGTGTGACAATAAAATACAGAATGATCATTGATCAAAATATATAATACTTTTGATTCTATTCATTCAATCATCTACATAATTGGAATAGGAGGAATTTTCTCTTTTCTCAGCAAATAAACATTAAATTAACCGTATATATCTCATTTCACGTTTTTAAAAATCAAAACTGATATCACATCAATTAGTTCAAATCATTACGCATTGATTCCGCAAATATGCCTCAATTTTTTTCCTGTTTACATGATGTACTGAAATAATTTCAATACATAATTTATCAGTTGGAGTCTAAGCTTATCAATTGTCATCTCTATTAAATATATCAAGAAATGTCGACTAAAAGTAAGGAGAAAGAAAAAACTAAACCTGCAGCTCATTATAGGTCCTGAGTTCAGCAGGTGACCGAGGTAATTCATGCAAACTGGACGAAGCTGTTGAATAATAATTTTCTAGTTTCGAAGTATCATTTGATGAACTAGCAGAGCACTAAAACAAATTTTATAATAAAACTCTAAAAAGTGATTTTTCCTTTTCTTTTAAACACGATATCTAATTGACTTCAATCTCTTTTAGCAGTGAACGAAGCAATATCTCCAAATGGTTTATAATTATTACGAAGCATAGAGTTAATATCAAAAGCCGAGAAGCGATATTTACCATAAACAAATTAAGGAGACTCGTGGCACGATGCGGATCACTTTCTAAATCCAAATCACCATTTGTCTGAATAGATTTCTGGCCGCTCTGAAAAGAATAAGAAACTAACCAAGAGTTCTTCCTAACGGAAATTATTATTTCAAACTAAGCTAGAAGTGCAAACTATTTTGTTTGCAAATATGGAAAGTGAGATGGCCATCTTTTACACAAATATTCCAGAAGAAACGACTCATCAGAATACGAATTCAAATGTACTTTAGCTGTAGGAAAAATTCAAAGTCATACTTTACTTGAGAACAAGTCGGCGAGTGTGTTACTATTGAAGTTGGCATCAACTAAACCGAAAACATCCGACAAATCATTCCCATCTATCGTCTGTTCGTCCAAAACGCTGTGATGGTCACCTATAAAGATAAGGTGTTTTCGCTGCACCCCATCGTTCAAGAAACAAACAAACAAAAATGCAGCAAAATTCCAGAACTGAATATAGAGCAAATATGAAGCGATTTAAGATTTACTGAGAGGAAATACAGAAGCTAAGAATCATCAGTTTAAATGTCAAATCTCGACTTAGTATAATTCTGTAAAATTATATCTCGAATAATATACAACTCTTGGATATCGCATAAAATGCTTTAATGGCCCAATATATTCCTAATACGGTCGTATTCAAATAAATTGCATTTCTTTTTTGAGTATAACTTAAAATCCTCTCATCATTATCCACGAAACACAAGCGTTCATAATAACACAATACAGATATGTATGTAGAAAAACTACTGTGATAAATGGATAACAGATAAACAACAGCGTGCTGCAATGGTACTTCTTTTTCCAAAATAAAAAAGTGAGTCGGAAACACATTACAAGCATGCATAATCAATCTATAAGCACTTGAATCAATTGAAGAACAATTTGGACTAATAATTTCCTTATGTAATTTTAGGTACTTATCATCAATTCTTCTAGTTTCCTCAACATTGTTGTCTTTATTCCTTTCTATGTGATTCTTAGATTTTCACTAAATCTTTGCTAATTAATATATTATTAATCCTCCTTGTGCATAGTATCAATGCTCAACACGACGCAAAATCAAAATGCGCCTCCTTGTTACCTTTACTAATTTAACTTTCTTTTTCTTACTAACTTTACTATTTCACCTCAAAAATATTTAATATACATAATACACTCGACAACTATAAAGCCAATAAACATACCTTCAAGTTTTTGATTACGCATTCGCAAATCCGCATTTTCACTATGCAATTTGCGATTTTTTCCAACAAGTAATTCATCAAGTGCCTTCGAACGACCACCCAACTGCACTTCGGCTGTTGCGGTCGCAGTGGCAGTAGCACCATTGCTCACGAAACATGTCCTTTCAGCGGTTTCTTCTCCCAACTCAACACCACGTAGATTCCTAAATAGTAAATCTAGAGAAAAATTTTTAAATTGTGTTTAAACTTAAATTACAGCGGCAGCTGAAATCTTTTCCTATAGCTTTAAATTGTTTCCTTCACAACACCATAATCATAAGTTACACTTTTTTTTCAGTTTTTTTTAAGAATGTTTGTTTTTTAGGATGAACTACTTTTTCATGCTTGATCTCGAAGTTTAACTTAGAAATAACGCAAACCTTAAATCTTTTTTATCTTCATAATCAGACTGAGCTTCTAATTGGGCTTGCAACTGCGCTACAATTTCCACATGGCGCCCCAATTCTTGAGTCAGCTCATCGATACGTTTGTTCGATTCTGTTTTCAAATGGATAAGCTTCGAGTTCAGCTTCTTGTTTTCTTCCAACAATTTACGAATCTACAACATATGCTTTAAGTAAGATATCCAAAAAAAAAGAGTATTTTAGGCAAGAACAAAATTTTCAAATCCAATGACCTGACTGTCTTTCGAATGAATCAGGGAAGTGCCTCCAAATGTTCCTTCATTTGGATTCGAACCAGCATGGCTAAAGCGCTCCAATTCACCTTGCAAACGTTGCACTTTCTTTTCCGCTTCTATCTGAAAGACCATCAACAAGTCATTTTCTAAAAAGGTAAACAAGTTATTTTCTAAAGATAACAAAGAACTAAAAGATTTACAGAACTGCATTTCCTTCTCATGATCTGATTAAATAAACGATACGATGGCTTCATCCAGTTTAAAAATTAAGAAGACAATCCATATTGTATTTGTGTCATACTAACAGCTCTTTGCAAAGCGTTCTCGAGATCATTCGTAACAATTTCCAATTTTTCGCCGTCTACATCTTCATTTCTTATCAGTTGTAACTTTGCCTCTTCAAACATTCGATTGGTTTCTTTGTTCTTCATCTAAAGTTGATGGAAAACTCTATTGTATACTAACTATTTATAGAGAAATAATTATGGTTATGCTATTGAAGAACAAACTGCGAAAATTTTTGGACGAAATCGACCATTAAAATTGATAGAATATTCCATAACGATATTCGTAATATTTGACGAAAACATACCGTTAGATCTGCAACAGCATCTGAGAGCGTTTTATTTTCAGCAGTACTTTGCACCCGCCCTTCAGCAACTTCTCTTTCAAATGCTTGCAGTTCGACGCGCAATCCTTTTTCTCTCTCATTTATCGCAGCCTGTAGCAATATATTTTTGTATTATATTTCAATTATACTGCTGAAAATAAAACGCTTATTTTATGTCAAATAAGGAACAACAGTTTATTAATCAAAGGAAGGTAAGGCAGGAAGGCCAAACAGAAATAGGCACAAAGAATAACAAAATGGAGTACTCATCTGGGTCATCCGCGATCCTATCGAGCTATTGTTATAAAAATTCATTATCCACAATTAAGCAAACCTGAATGCTACTATTTGTTTTAGCTTCCATTTCTTTCATCCGTTCTTTGAGTTGCCGAATGGTTAGATCTGAAGAAAAGGTTTAATTTTAAATTTAATTTACTCTTCTAAGAAGTTAAAGATTACAAGATCTGTCGAATGTTCATACAAAATCCTGATAAAAATCAGTTTCCGTTCTTGAACTGTTCAAGTTCATTTATTTTAGGGTCTTATTTGTACACGACCAGAAACTAACCAAGAGTTCTTCCTAACGGATATCGCAAAGGACGAATTTTGTTGATGTTAATTAAATTTTGCATTTCTGTACCTGTTGCTTGACTATTTCAGCGAAAATGTTAAACATCAAGATTGCCCGTATTCAGCTTATTGTTATCGATATTACTGAAACGTTAACTTATGCCAAGTACAATTCATCTGGAAAAACTATTCTTGGCACACAAGTTCCCCATTCAGAATTAATCTCCCGCTCAAAAGTAGTCATCCTCACTACATCCATCTTATTCCTCGAGATTAGTCACGCACATTTATGCTGCACCAGGTCTTCTCGGAATAAAAATCACTTATTTCAAAATACTTGTAAATATAATGCGAATTTAATAAGTACATACCCTGATTTCGTAAGTGATCATATTCTTCTTGTAACTCATTCAGTTGTTTAGTCAGGTCCCTAACTTGCTCTTCAACAGAACGTAATCGCACGACTTCCTTTAGCAATGTTGAAACCTGTTCCAAATATGGAGAAGGATCTGTAAAAAAAATATAAAAAGGTACAATAAGTAGGTATGCGTAAAGAAATGAGGAGAATCCGAAAATTTTTGACTGTTCTATTTGATTTATACAAAATCTAGTTAGTGAATTTGATAAATTCAGGAAAGAGACATAAAGGAGAAGAGAGACAAAGCGACGAACCACTGGTCTCATGACGACAATTTAGAGTTAATCAATAAGCAACCTTGGATCACAAGCCTGAGTAGGGATGCAGGACGATTGTAAGCAATATAAGTGTGGTGATGAGCAGACAAGCGCAAGCTTACATGTGTCTCAGGAATTCGATTGCCGATACGACGATTGCGGAGACAGAACTATCGACTAAGCGCTGCTCGCTAACTGACTAGTGACTGGATGCAGAAAATCGAACCCAAAAATAAACGATTTCCCAGGGATAAATGAAAGAATGAAGCGATTGACGGTCGATTCAGTATAATGCGGGTGCAATGGATGGAAGGAACGCTTCAAAAGCAAATAATCGATGCGATTGCGCGAGCTCCACAAAGCTAAGCTAGACAGCCTTGTAAAAGAAACTTACTGCTTACTAGAGCAATGATCAACGCTTGACTCGAACCTAGCTCACTACGACTACGAGATACTAACACATATTGAGTCATAATTTACGCTTCTCAAAAATCCTTCAGGCCTACCCTGCTCAAATTTAAACGATTTCAATCACATTTGATGATAAAGAGATTCTTCGATTGCGTGTCTATGAATAAATATAACTGCAAATACAGCGGAAAGAAGAATTTCCATAAATATTCACACAGAAATATTCTCAAACGTTATGTATCTGCGACAAGTGGTGATTAAGCTGTATTACAATAATTTTCACACTGTCGCTTTTTTTCAGATATAAAGCTAATACACAGCATTTGAACCTACTTAAAGATCAATAAATTCCAACGCACAGCGATGCATATAGATAGAAAAATGAGGAAAATCTAATAACTAATTTTGTTCCATTGATAAAAATTTCTCTTACCACAAACAGAAGTGAATGTCCGACAAACAAAGATTAAATCAGCTTCTGCTGCTTTTGCTCTTTCTATAGCTCGATCATACTCTTTTTGGAACGCTCTAATCAGCGGCGAAGCAGCTTTACGTGACTGCTACAAAAAAAAAAAAAAAAAAAAAAAAAAAAAACTTGAAGTATAGAAAAGAACATTTGTAAATTTATACGTATCAAGTAACCAGTTGCTTTCCTGACTTTTATCTTTTATACCACTTGATTTAGACCTATATGATGCCATGCCACTGCAAATATTCCAAGAATAACAGAGTTACAGTAGTTAACTTTTTGGCATCATAACTATAATTCTTAATTTTCTTTTTTTGTTTTTTGTTGTATAAAATTTTTTTGCTGACTTATATCCCTTCCAATACTGTAATGGTTTGACTGATGATGTCAGTTACTACGATTGTATCACTTCATGCCGTTGAAATTAAACGTAAAATGCAGGCCTTACACGTCCTAAAATATATTTTTTCCTTTTCTCAGACCATTATGACAACTATCATGATATCAAGAATTCAACACATATCACAGCGTTTCGACGGATATTAATTTTTAAAAATCGATCGACAGAAATGACGAACTTAACCATTATTAGATGATCAGAAAACCAGATCTCAACAAAATGTTTTATTTTGTAGACTTAATGCTGATAATTAAGGTAAAACCAAGTTGCATAAGTAAAAACCATAATAAAACTTACCTTATCAGCATGCTCATAATAATTTTTGCTTTCAGCAATTAACTGTTGGCGAGCAACTCTGCATTGACTCTCTCTCACACCAATTGCCTGTACCTCTTCGTTTAAATTCCTCTGCAAAAACCGCTAAAAAAGAATAGTTCATCAAATAAAGGACAAACAAATACCCTTATCGATCAACGGTGTCCCCACGAGGTGAAGATTTTAAGACGCACCTGAATCGGGTCAGAAGGAAAGAGAGGAAGAGGACAGAGAGATCAAAAATCAGGTACAAGAACCGCATTTTTCTTGATTTACATAAAAAATTATACCACAGTATGCAATAGAAAGTGATAATAATAAAAGATAGTAATCACGACATAATAATAAACGATAGCATTTAAGAATGCACTAATCTCAGCAACTGAATTCGGAACTCTCTCACCAATAGATTATTTTGATTCTATATACAATAAATTCAAAGTACTTTATAAGGATTTCAATTATGAGTGAAAGATCGATAATGTTAGTAACATATTACAACTAAGTTAAGCATTGATGCCATTTAATTGCTGGAAAGATGAAATTGAGAGATCAGCAGTAGAATAAGCCAGTGGTCTGAGCTGTATGCAGCTGAGATGCATTTACTCAGTCAGTCAGTTAACAACCATTTCAGTAAGTATGGTTTTGAAGCCTCATCGAAAATCGATCTTCCAGATGGGCTCGCCTTTCGCGGCAACAACTGCATGATTTGATTCTACGACAAAATAACATTCCCTCTCACCAATCATTCCATTCAGACATTTCAAACTCCGTGCTGACCGTTCACTGAACTGAACCTCTTCGAACATATATATATATCCACGGACAGAAAGATACACGTGCATCAGTAAACAAATCAATTTATTGATATCGATTTATCTGACATGAGCTCAATAAACTGCGGCTCACTGATAGGCAATACTCCAGAGACTACTTCAACACGGGAACAGCTCATCTTTCTCCGATAATGCATGCATATCTCAGATGAGATTTTTTTCGTCAAACATATATTTTATTGAGAACCAAAAACAGATAATCAGCTGAGGAACAAAATGAATGATCCTCATGATGCATACCACTTTAGATATTTCCGCGACGGATGGAAAATACGAAAACATCTATATTCTTTACACCTAATGAGTCGAATTTCACGCAATAGATCATAAGTTGTTCATAAACTGAGCAATTCCAACTATACTTTATAATACATGAGGAAAGTTTTTTTTTGCGTGATTTTTTCCAAAATATTTACAAGCACCTCTTTTGATTTTTAAGATTATTCAACGAGTTGCATTTTGCTTACTGACCTTTTTCTTTTATGCAATTCAAAATCGGTTAGTCATTATTTCACATTCTTCGACTGCAATTTTTGACCTTTTCATATTCTTTCCAGTTACAGTAAATTTGATGAATTACAACCATGAATGCAATCGAAATGAAAATTATGAAAGGATAAATAAGCATATTAACACACTGCCACTTAATTAGCTTATCCTTTAAAAATGAACTAAGTATATAACGAAGATCGATAAAATGAAAAGATAAAAAACTTAGATGCTATTTCAACATGCTCAGCTGCAAAGTCCGTTTAAGCAATACTGTACCTGCAAGTGTTCGAAATCGATCTGTGACCATTTCTTCGCTATACTTTCCACTTCTTGCATGTTTTGTGGATCTATTGCCATATCACTCTCTAAAGAAATAATTAGTTTTATCCATTGTCCGAAATTAGTTCCTTAAAAAATTATCACAGAAATTCGAAGGATCGGAGATGCAACAACGAGCAGTGTTCAGCAGTTGGGAGGAAACGCCGAATTCTCATAATTTCTGCCTTGTTCACATTTTAATATAACATAAATTATGATCTAAAAACAATAGACAACAAAGATGTTGCATCAGTAATTTTCGAACAGAAATCTTGACAAAATATGAAATTCGGTTGAAACGTCAAGTGAACTAGAAGAGAAGGATATTCTTTCCGTACAGTGTACCGCACGCATATATTAAGCTACTACAAGCAATTTTAAGATAATAACTATGTATATATTTCAGTAATTTCAATTTATTTCAATAATGGTTCAAACAGCCTCATAAATTAGTCGTAAATAGCCAGTATATTTAGAACTGGTGATTAGTCAAACCATCTAGCTGTACCGTTACGACAAATTATCTCGAGTTTATGTTTCCTGAGTTTCTTCATACCATACCACTAATCTAACTCTCGATATAATTTTGGCCTCTACTTTATTTTTATTAATTTAGAGAAATTGAAATAATGGAGAAAAAATCAGCTAATTAGATCTCTAATTTAAATATACAATAGCACACAAATATATCAAAATATGCTGCTAGAAACCACTGTGGCATTGGCAGTGTGTCAACGAATATTCGCGAAATTCCCCTGATCAACCGATCAATATGTGCAACGACACCCTCATAGATCGATCAGAGATCGACCTACTTCACTGTTATATGAAATTCACTGGGTTTACTAAAGAGATAACTGTAATGTATCTATCATTTTAAAATCAGATTTAACAATTAAACTAGTATAGCGTTCAGAACTACTAGCAAAAATTTACATTCCAAGATTCGGAGAGATTTTTTCTTTTTGAACAAGCAAGGAAAATCATTTTTCATTGTATCTAATTTATAGCTGACCTGAATGGTTATCCATATCTAAAACATAGTTTAAATAAAAAGATACGTGAGACGTTTAAATCATATGAAAGACTGGAGAAGAGAACTTTATTAAAAAATACTTTCTATAAACAAATCCTGATTTGTACAAATGAAAAAATAGGGAAAGCAAGCAACTATGACCACTTCATATATCGAAGAAACTGTAGCGCTGTTGTTCATAAGCACGACTATCTTCACGCAAATGATAATCATCTGGTAATTCCGCCAATACTTTTGCAGCTTCTGCTTTATAATCTCGTGTGTAATGTACTGAAGCATTTTAAATAAATGAATTAATAAATAAATAGATGCTAAAAGTCACACAATCACATTAGAGCCAATCACGATGACCGAAAGCTAGAAAACCACTGAATCATAACCAATCGAGGAAATGGTAGCTTTGATAATAAAATAATTTAAATCAGTTAAATAATTACTTTTTATTTCTAAAATTATCCTGACGTCGAAAATCCATTTTAATAGGTAACTCAAAGATTAAAAAGACAAAAATTTGAACTATTATAGTATAGTCCATATGTAAAAAACTTGAAAAAGATACAGGACTAAAAATCGATGGTCTCAACATATCATGTGCTATTAGAACAATTTCACAATTTTTACTCGAGAGTAACGCTTAAACCAAAGAAACCAGAGAGAGGTATCTGAAAACTTACCAGTATGAACTTATATATAAATAAGATAAATAAACCAAAATATTGTTGTAATTACCATGTCTTGGAAAGTGTGCGTTATGCACATGTAATTTGCTGAAATATCCCACTCTTGGTCGAATAATGTTCAAGTTTTCTTCCACGCAAATATCCAAACGACGCTGTTGTTCACGGCAACTGTAACTATTATTATTAATATCATTTTCCCATAATTTAGTTAATAAAAATGGGCCCAAGAAACCATAGAAAATTCTGAAAATAAAATAAAACAATTCTTGCATTTAAAATTAAAAAATTTTCCAGTCTTAGTATGTATCAATGAAAAGGAACAAACGGTGTAATGTAGAGTTTGGAAGTACGGTGATCAATACAATCAGCATAACGATCAACATTTTCATTGCAAACCTTTTTCAGTGCTTGTAAAAATTTGATACCGCATGCGGTAAGAGCCTGACCTTCTCTTAGTGAAAGCCGTGGATCTTCAGTTTCCTGTCGACGCAACATAAAATCCTGTAAAAACAATATATCAACTCTCAAATATACATAACAAAAGTAAAAAATAATAGTCAATTTATAGACAAATACATTAAGTCATCTACAATTTAAAAAACATTTCCAAACTGCGAAATGGATAGAAATTACTATTCAGCCAAGCTGACAAAAGTTGAAAAACGAACTTTAACTTCTCTCTCACATGCTCTGTGCATATATGGTATAACGGCTTTAAAGTAAGGCGTTGAAAGAGTGATTTCATGAGGTACTATTAGCTCCTCATCTGAGGGCATTGGAGTACTTTTAGTTAACATCCCCTTAAAATGAGATTACTAAACAAATTATGCAAAACGACAAAAAAGTGTTGATAAATAATCAATGGAAAATGACGCAGGAAGGTACAAACAAGTTCTACAAACACTGATATGGCAACGGTGGCAAAATTCACGCATATTCGGTCCAGCTATTCCCTCACTTCTTCTTCCTCCTTATAAACAAACAAGGAATAATACAAGTTAATTAAATAAGTCGTTTCCTTAACCTTTAAATTATCCTGCCCACCTAGAAAGCGGGTAATCATAGTTTCCCAAAGGAATCAGCATAACCCTTTCTCTTCCTATAAATCACGCCAGTCCATAATCTACCGAAAATACTACCAGGGAGCACCTCTCATCCTCCCCATCTCTACCTTTTAACCACCCGCCTGCCACTCGGGAGAACCTCGATTTTCCTGACTCTGTGCAATGGCACAATGAAAAAGTTGATCTCGAGAATAGGCACGAAGGTACAGATTGTTCAAGACTGGAGACTAGTTATATCTCCTGGCTAAGAAGTCTTGAGGACCGCTTTATTGACAACTTGGTAAGTTGGCTACTAAGTGGAATAGCCAGATGGCCAGAAATACAACATAGATCATGCCGTTATTGCTTATCTTTCTTTCAGTTTTCGAGCTGTTTACATGGTTGCAATATCCCAATGCTGCATCATTAAACAACACTTTCGAAATCTTTAAAAACTCGATTTATATGCAAATTCAAGATTCACTTAGTATAAAAGGTATACATTTGAAAGATCATTAAATTGTTTTCTATCCAAGTTATCTGCAAAGTTGGTTGAATGACAACTAGTTTTCACAGAGGTCTGAGAGCCATAGCTGACTCCTAGAGAAAAGGTTTTGGAAATTTCAGTCAAATCTGAAGAGATTTTTTTGTTTTATAGATTTTGAAGTATTCAAATATTTCTGGGCAAATCCGAAATTTTAAAATCAAATAATTACAATTGTAATGCCATAACAATCACAGATGAAAGCTTTCCAAAATTTGCGGAATACATTATCATCATCACAAGCGCAATCATCGGACAATAGAGCATCAAACAACGAAGATCAAATTGTTGGCAGTGACAATATAAAGCAAAGGAAGCAATCATCTTTCAACAAATTTTCACCGTCATCGCAGTTCAAAACATCTGTAGGAAAATCTAATAGCATAACGAAAGACGAAAAGCATCCTATTAATCGAAAGGTGAAAAAGGCGATGACACAATCAAGAGCTTGGTATCTCCATCTGTGAAGTTCAAGTTTCTTTTATTGTAGAATTTTTTAGTAACTCTTATTAAAAGAGCTTAAAATTATGACTAAAATAAAGCCGTCATATTTAACCCGAAAATGAGAAGTTTCAGTTTGGTGACAAGACACGGGAAAAGCGTGACCTCACCAAAAGTTCAAATTTCACGAATACAAAACAATCTGGGATTTCCGTGTGAACTACCAGATGATCTCGTTGTCGACGTAAACATACAAGCAAAGTTCGATCAGAGAGACAAAAAAGTGAGGGTAATTAAGTTTACAAATCGCCCTTATTCTCATATTGTGCTCCCTATTTCGGAAATCTGAAAATCAATCGATAATTTCAACATATTAAAAAAAATGATCTGAACAAACAGATTAACCCTATACGATGATGATGCAATTATCCAATGTTTATTTATTTATTATTATTTTTTTCTTGAAATACTCTTTGTAAATGACTCAGTCTTTCAGGTAGGCGTTGCTATAACCAAATCTCTGCTCATTCTTAGAGTAGAGGAATATTCAATATTTTATGGAATGTTGAAAATCTGCGATTTCTTAACACATATTGAAGATGAGCCAATTACCAGTAAAAGAGAATTCTACGATAAGCTGAAATTATTGCGAGATGTTGGCAAGGAGGTTGTGAACGGTCTCAAATTTTTATTTTCGGGTTAAACAGTGAAGCATATTTCCAATTTCAGTTTAATTTGCGGTTGCGAAGACCGTTGTGGAATACGCCAGCTACTAGATTACCAAAAGGATATGATCGTGCACCAGGATATAGTTATATTCGCGGTTTGATGATCCTTTATCCAGGCGGTAATCTGGGAATGAATGTTAAATCATATAACAGCAAAGTTTGTTTCTTGTTGCATTGATTATCGACTTAAGAGCATAAAATTTTCTAATAAATACTAAAGATGTTTTCAAATATTGCGGAAAATCTGTAGAGGAAAAGATATTACGTTTTTTTTTCTACTGTTGAACACTACGCAGTGTAAGGAACATAAAATTTCATTATCAAGCTTCTAGAAATCCAACAATAAGTCCAGTTCATTTCAGGTATATGTAACGAGTATAGATCAAATGAGCATAGCATCAGCCGCTTGTTTGATGGGTGACTGTATTGTAGACGTAGATGGTACACCAGTTACGTCAACTGTATCATGCGGTGAACGAGTCATTTCAGGACTCAAACACCGTAAATTTGTACGTTACATGCATTTATACAATTGCGTTGCATTGCATTTACACAATTTTTAAACTATTAATGTCAAGAGTTAAGTTTTTAATTTAAAAAATTTTGGCAGGTGCTGATGACAATTGAAAGAGCGATAGATGTGCAAGCTATACGAGTGGTTAAATTTGTACTACTTGTCGAAAAAGTCCCTGAAAAGGATCCCAGGTATTAAATGCTTTGAAACTGATTTTTGTTGGTTATTTCATTCAGGAAATCATCCAGTTTTAAAGAGATGATTACTGTTATTTCTTCTAAATTATTGAAATTTATAAAAATAGGATGGCACAAGACACTACTAAGATTGGTTTGAATGAAGCACAAAAGATTCGGCAAAATGCTCTGCCAGGAACATTGAAAGGCATTTATCGCGGAAAGCATGGATATGGCCAAAAGTTTTTTTTTTTTTCTTTGTTTATTTGTCTTGATGTTCGCTTTCACTTATCTTTATGATCCAATTTTTATATTACTTCAGCACCGTTTATGTTTGTGATTAACTATTCACCTCGTTTTTATCATAAATGGAATCTTTCTTACATTCTAATCTCCAGACGTCTGGTAATCCACGAGATGTCGATGTTCACTCCAATTGGTGCAGATCCGTTTAATCCACTGCTTATGCAAGCAGTACCACCAAAAAAGATGGACATCATGCATGCTAGTAAATCGAGTCAAGGGAATATTTCGACACCCCTGCAGCGACCGAAGGAATAACTATTGTCTTACAAGATGACATGACTTATCCGTCCTTCCTTTATAATCTGACTTAATTTGATGCATGTCACATACTTACTCTAATTTGTTTCCTCGATGTATACATGTATTTAGAGTCGAAAAATTAAGAATTTGATAATCTAAGCTTTTGTTTAGAATCTTGTCTGTTACTGCAGTTAAGAATTGTATTAAGCACTGATATTTGTCCAAAGCACATCAGTTGCAAATATACTGTCAAATACCCGTTCAAATCATATATAATCATATATTGCATTAATATTTGTATCAATCAGCAAATCAGAACTTTGATTTTCTATTGCTTCTGAACATATATTATAGAGCACTGAAAGAAAAACTTGGAATCTCATTCATACAGTAAGCAAGGCAAATAATTCGTTGTGTATTTGATTTTCCGTCATATCAGAAGCTGATGAAATCCAGTTACACTATAGACTTAAACTACGACAAACAGAAAGAAACAATCTGTGACCGCTAACAAATCGTTGTGATAGAAATCTCCCGTAATCGATGAATTCAGAAATCGCTTGAATAGCAAATCTCCCGGGTTTTCGAATTTCGTTTCCGAACTATCCTAAGGATTCATCTTTGGCGATTATTATCCCATCTAATTTATTAAAACTTTTCAGAAGTATCCCGTATCACAGATCACTAGTAAGTTTTCACTAAGTAATGGAAACAAGAAAAAAAAAAATTTATAGTCAGAAAAAAAAAACATTTATCTTGATACAAACATAGGCAAAGTCTGCAGAGAATTTTGATTCCATGTTCTTCAGCCACCCAACTTTTAAAATTTGGAACTTTTAAAAAAAAAGTTTCACACCTGTTGGAAATATCAGATTGACTTGAAACACTATCGATAAATTTTATTTAGTGCAGACAACACTTCCGTTGATTCAGATCTGGTGGCATCATTAAAAAAAGCTGAAATTCCATTCTCTCAAACCACACGAAAAACACGAACGATATATGTAGGGAACTGTATTCAGTGGCAAAACTCATGAATTTCATAGTGCTAACTGAAAGATTGCAAGACTTTTTTGCAAAGGAGAAGATTTAAATGTGGTGCTTTCTCACTGTGAAATTTAAGTCTTTGTGAAAGAGGTGTATTCCAATGGACTTGAGAATGGATTGCCAATTAGTAACTAGTAAATCAAAGATATCTCAAAAATCAAGTTATCTAAACCTATTTAAATATTTATTTTTCATCTTAAATCCTCGACACAGCTTTCCCAAAGTGTGAAACAGTTACAAGAAATATAGATTTTATGATGCCTTATGTCATAATAAATAAAATTAATACCTGAATCTAATAAGTTACTTAGAATTAGCAACAGTTCTTGATGAAATTGAAGGATTTGGATTTGCCTAATGCAGTTGAGAATTAAATGAAAATTGAGGATGAAACTCGTCTTGCAAAGTCTTACAGTAAACACAACAAAACAAAAGTTATGTAGTTTTTAACCTTTAAAATTGAGTACATTTGCAACCGAAATAGGAAAATTAATGCATTGTTATAATCATTATAATAACAGAACGAAGACCATTTACAGTGAAAAAATTAATTTGTTTAAAATCAATAATGCAAATAAAACGTATCTTCCCGAACACTGCTTATTTCACCACTGATGAAAAATCTGACCAGATACTTTGATCAAACTCAGAACCGCTAATTTCGCAATCTGTTGTAACCTCTCGTGAGTCATTTCCTGACAGCGGGCTTCCAAAGGCAGATGGTGGTAGCGGGTAGTACTCTCCTAACTAAAATAATCTGGGCAAAAATCATTTGTGTAAGCTTCAAAATATTTTATTCAGCTTTCTTCTATAAGCATCATTGAAATCTACCTACATTTGCATCCGCTTTAACTACTTTAACAGCACTTGAATCAGCCTTATCCATTCTACTAATATGAATATCACTTGGGATTTTTCCCGTTCCCTCCGAATCTACAGCAAATTCATCTCCAAATTTCCTCACCTGAAATAAAAACTGCAAAAAACAAATCCAAATTTTGATTAGAAAACAAGTTTTAAATCTGTCAAGTCAAACTTTGAAATAATTTTATAGAAATTTCAAACCATACCAACACTCCACCTCCAAAACTTGCTTTATCAAACAATACGCTTGTCATATTATCAGTTGTAGTAAGCCACGAAACCGCATCTCGATTAAAATCATCTGATGATGGCTCTCCAAAGTTAGTAGTGTCCGGGTTACAAACTTCACTGTACCAAAGGGAGTGAACTTTCGCCTCGCCTGGATTTGATTTTTTAAAAACTTCTCATATTCTGAACTTGAACTTCTTAAATTCCTTTGAAGAGTGCGATTTAGTAAGAAAAGCAGTTAAAATTAAAAGGACCAACCATCCTGTGAATATGCATGTTTTTCAGAACGAATAGTTGCTGCTTGACTACGAATCATTTCATAACGTTTCTTTTCCTCAAATTATGCAGACAGTAAAAAAAACATATTAAATTTAAGTTAATATTTAAGCAGTCACCAAATTACGTTTCATCAAGTAAAACTGACAACACAAAAGCAATGAGCAAACAATTTTTCGTTTGAGCAATATGGTGTTCCCTGCTGTTAAGGGTATGAATTTCTCTATATCTGCGAGAAGTGAAGTTGCAAGACTGCTCTAATACTGAACGGAGAGCTATTCCAATCGAAGGAATTACAAGTTTATCATAAGCGGATTTTATGAATTTACCAAATACCATTCAAATCAAAAAAAAAAAAAAATAACCTCTTTCTCCTTGGCAATTAGTTTCTCGAGATACTTCTGAAGGTTGTTAATTTCAATTTCATACTGCATCATTTCTGCCTTATTGCTTTCACGAAGAGCATTGGTTTCCATTTCCAATCGGTTGCACTGAATTGATCTATGTAAATTATTTTTAAATTCAGATCAGCATAATTACAAAAGTTTTATTGTTAGACATTTTATGGTTAGATGAAAAAATGGCTGAAGGAAACGAATAAATCTGTCTCAAAACAGTGGGAATATGTAGAAATAAAAATATATGATACGTACAAATAAGAAATATGTAGAAACTACGTAGAAATAAAAAACAAACAAAGAGAATGAGAGAGAGAGAAAGATTAAGTTTTTTTTTTTTTCAAATGAGAAAATGTTATTCTGAAAAAGCTAAACAAATAGTGACAATTCAAACAGATTGTCTTTACATCGCTTTGAAAATTTTATTGGAAATAATACTGGAATTCCGGGAATCATAATAGTGGATTATCAAAAATTTGAAATTGCGACAAAATATGCATATTTTTTAGACTCTAAAATATACATTGTCATACGTAAGGATATTGTTTATATGAGCAAAAAGCTCCACGCTAGTGCTCTAAACAATTGAAAAATTCTTTTAGCTCTCAAAATTGGTAAAAAATATTGCTTCGATATCAAGTTCCATCCTCTTGTTGCGAAGAGCAGCAGATGCTTGTCTTTCTGTGGTTATCATTTCTTCCAAATGTCGCCCTGTGACAATGGCAGCTTCAATCTCCTTTGACCAGTCGTGCTGCTCATCACCAAGAAATATCATTAAAGAAGCATGTTCATTTTCTCCACTGTTTAATTCTGTTTGCACTTGTTTGGCTTCGTCTTGCAAAGTACTGACTTTTTCACTTATTTTTACCTATAACATAGAATTAAGAACGAAAGAAAATTTATGCTGTCGTTTTATTATATTTATAGTTATCAGTGAGGCTGGAGAGAATGGGGATTGCAAAAATATAAAACTTTTTAACAAACCTGTAGATTTTCCCGAATACTTTTATACTGCAAAGAAATAATTTCAGGATCATCTCTCTTAAGTGTTGTTAGATTCTCCAATTCTGTTTTCAAGACGATAATCTGTAAAATGACTTTGAATAAAGCTTGATAAGAATTTACAAATTTATTTAAAATTTTATATGTACTTTAAATGTTAAAGTTAGAAATATAGTGGCAGCAATAAAATTAGAGAGACTCGCCTAATTAATGCACTTACTTTTTCATCAAGCAACCGTTCTTTATTCACAATTTTTCCATTTTCCTCATTCAAATTCGATAATTCAATAACAGCTTCATCACATTCTTGAGAACATTGGTGAAGTTGTTGTTGTAGCTCTTTCTCCTCTATCATAATTCCATCCAAATTTTCCTTTAAACTGATTAAATGATAAAATATAAACGTCATTCATAACTTTTGAAATATTTTGATATCAGTTCTGTTATTGCAATTTTTCTTTAAAGTTGAATATTAACGATATCAGTCGATAATATGTTCTCCAACTCCGCTTCCACCTCACGAGACTGTTGTTTAAGTTTCTTGTTTGCGGAATTTTTGATTTCTGAAAATGGCATCACCATTCGAAAATAGACTATGCTTATTTTAAAAATAATTTAACTAACAGATTTGCATTTAGGAAGTGACTTTGTTGAATTTTTCTCTACCATCGTGATACAAAATTTCAGCGAAAGCTGACCCCACATGAAATATGAAATGAGTTTTCCACACGTGAAATCATGTAACTTCTTTGTTGATTTATTTGCTCCAGTCAATGCTGCTCACTGGGTACATTGAGCAACATTTTCGAACTTTCTTAAAATTAACCAATTTTAATTACCAAGATTCGATTTCAAAAGCGTAACATGATTTAGCAACTCCTCCTGTTCCATTCTCAACAGTTTTTCTATATCATCTCGCATCTTTCGCAGACGTTCAGTTCGTTCTTCCAGGCTTCTATGACGTAATAAATGATTTAGGCTACTTTGCAGTTCAAATAAAGCATTATCAATTCCCGCGATTCGCTCTACTGAAAAAAACTAGCTTTTATCCTTTTTAAAGAGCTCGGATCGACATCAAATAATATGTATGGATAACTATATCCCGATTTTTTTTTACTTCACAACTTTGCTCGTTTCTGAACTATTACTCGCCATGAATATATACCAAGAGTAAGAAATATAAAACACTGTTTGATATTTCAAGTCTCTCCGAGGTCGACAAAAATCTATAAATTATTACAAAAAACATGAACATGTGGAATATACATTTTTCCTGCAAAGATTTCCAATCGTTTTCAGCGCGAATTTTGAGAGCCTGAAAGCGGGATGTGAGAGTCTCGACGTTGAAGTTATTGACATTGCTCGTCACCTGCACTGTATCCATGGCTTAAAAAATTTTATGTGTATATTTAATTTACACTGCAAAATGAACCAATGAAACAGACTTGTATTTCATTTCATTCTGAATTTTTCGATTGCACAGGCAAGAAAAACGTAGTAGAGATATTAGGAAAATCAAACTTGTCTTGATGAGCTCTGAAACAGTCCGAAAACGCATTTCAACCAACTGAAGATTTTTGGCATTGCGATGAAGTCTGAAGTGGATTTCTTACTAATAATATGAATTCAATAATGACATAATTTATCAAAAAGCGCTTGGTAATAGACATTGGATGACTACATGACCTGTAGCCCTTAAAAGAACTTTATTAATTAAAATCACTATCAATATACAAAAATTTTAAATCAAAAACCACACTGTTTTGAAATTTCTTTGCACGCTTGACGTGACTGCTTCAAATTTTCTTCATCATCGATATTTTGAGCAAGAATTGCTTTTGAATGTTCCCACATATTTCTTTCCTCTTCCACAAAAGCTACTTTCTAAAATAGCTCAGTTAATCCTGCTTATATAGAATTTGATAGCTGAATAAAGTTTAGAAATTTAAATAATTTCTTTGACACAAGATATATGCAAACCTTTTGGAGCAGCTTCTTATGCTTTTTGAATAGTTCTGCTGTAAGATGCTCAGGATGTGGTGTGTCGTTCTGTTTGAATTGGACAGAAGGTCCGCTGACAGCCGTCGTATCCATGGTTCGCCTATCAAAATACTATCACCTTGAGCGCCCTTTCAACACTGCCTGAGGCTAACATACCACAAACATAAATGACGTATGATAGTGTTAAGTTAATCAAGGGTTACTTGAAGAGAAATTCCACCAGGAAACTAGAAAACAAATCAGATGAGAGATTAACCATAAATTGAAGCATCTTCCTTCAACCTTAATATTTACAGAGAGAAGTTTCTAGAAAGAGTCATTCCTCCAAAATGTTTCAGGAAAATGGAAGTATGATATATTCGTCATGCATAAACAAACTGAATGGTAAACAAATCACCAAACAACGGACTTAAAGTTAAACTTTATGTTAAAAACATTGCGTCAGGAATTAGAAAACAAACAGTTTTAAATAATCAAGTAAGAGTTTTGCACGAATTTCCCAAATATTCTAATTTGCACGTACACCCGGATGTAGATTCATATTCTGCACGTAGACATTCACTGCTAAATTGTTACCGCTCGGAGAGATTCCTCCTTGTTTAAGTGGTCTTCTGTGTTGTAAATAGGTATTTTGGTGATTATGACGCGCAAATATCGCTTTCCCATCGCATGCATGACTGCAAGTTTAGGTATGACTTGAACTTATATCGCTTTTATGTTTCATCTAATGGATACGCATAATTTGCACGTTTGAGTGATGCCATCTGAACTTATCTGTATGTACTGTTCATTAGTTATGCAAGGGACTGTAGAAATTAATCGAGCTATATGGTCTATGGCTTGAGGATCATAAAGGTCAAAAGGGTTAATTCTCGACCGGTTCATAGTTCTTGTAGCATTTGCACTTTCTCAACACTTCCCGAGAGCTCCGCTACGGTGCTTTCTACTTTACTCTTTTCTTTAACCTACTTATCTATCGCACTTCACTTATCATCCTTCCAGTGTAATATGCATTATTAGCGGCCTTTCTAGTAATAAGCATAGTGATTAAGACCGAGGATAGGGATGATGCTGAGAAATATTAGCAACTGTTATTCAGAAAGCTTTTAAAAGCCATATAAAGTTATCATTGCAACAATGCTTTTAAGCTTAGCCATAATTTCAGTTTCAAATTAAAGCCATAAGGGCTGGAATTGTAATTGGTGTACTAGAAATGCAGCAAACGACGATTTCATCAGTTCAGTACAATTTCCAGCCCTCATCAGCCATTAATTCGCAATATGGTATGGATATATTAATAGATCTCTTAAGTCTAAATTCGCTTTAGTTATTCCTAAACGTAGGAAAAAGTTTAGATTGTATACACTCCTTCCCTAGCTTTCATGACCTTTCAAAGTTCGCAGAGGTTATTTCCTGATATTCAATCAATCCATCCTGATACAACCTTTTGAATATAATCATTATGAACAGAGATATTTTTACTCATTTTTTTATTGATTATTTTAGAGCGAATGAGTACAGATGCTGCTACAGATCAGCTTTGCCAGAACATATCATCTATTACGGTTATTTTACGTGTTCTAATCAGAATAATGATTAATGATGCTTCCCTTATAAGGTACATTCCATTCGTTTTCTTTGAATATTTGCAGGTCAGTGATAAAGAAAATGGGATGAATGAGATGCACTGGTGTTCTCCTTGTAACCAGTATACTGACAATTCAGGTTACACCTACACAAATCCAGCGGAACATCAACTAGTAAGTGTAAGAACTTATTGAACAGTTACCAACAAATAACTGTATTTTTTTCTTCAAAGAAATCAAGTATAAATGATTTTGCATCGTTTTACAACAACTCTGCACTTTTCTGGAAAACACTGTAATTGCATGCTGGATGAAGTTAAACACAATCATCCAAAAGACGCCATAATGCGAGCAGTTTGACTGTGTTAAGATATTGGTGATCAAGCCTAATTATTCTGTAGCTTTGTACTTTCTAAGTGTCGTTTTGTTCTATCGACCTTATAAGGTTATACTCTGGTCGGAATTTCTAAAAGCACAGAAACTATATACTAAAATTAATGAAACCAAACACAGGTGAAGAATAACTTGTACAGACTACAACTCTGGATTTTGAAGTTTGATTTTTTCTTTTTATTCATTCAGAATCTAGATCTCAACATGTTTTTATCTTTGGTTCGGATATTATAATCTTCAAAATTTAATTGCTAAGGAAGCATCAACTGAATCATAAAATAAACATAAACTTCAAGTCAGTTATAGATTACAAAATTTCCTTTTACGTTTTGAGTTCTGTATAAAAAAAATTCGGGTTTTTTCGAAGTAGGGTGATAGAGACGTTTCCCTGTCCTCTTTTTAGATGGCTTGTGATAGCTGTGTACAACAATGCGAAGTGTCACATGTCAACAGATTGAGAAATGGTGAATGTTGGGATAGCTACGAATGGTTTCTTTCACATTTCTTATTATTAATACCCTGCACTTGTTCGTTGATTAAAAAATTTACGGTTCAGTGTAATTGCTAATATCTTTAGCTATGGCTTAAACAACAATATTGAATTAATGCAGCCGACATTGTTCTATTTACTGACATCGGGTTGCATTTCAAATTTCGGCAAGGACGAAAAAGGCAGCCGGTGAGACCTGCACAAAGTATTTGATTTTGATACTGAGTACTTCATTTTCTGCAAAATGGGAAATAGATTCGGTGGAGTTAATATTATATATGATAGTTACTAGTGTTTGTTTAGATTCGTGCAAGAAGAATTTGCAAAAAGCTCTCCAGCGGTTCGTCAAATGATGTTTGACTACCTTTTCGAAAGAGGTGGATTTGACTGGTTCTCCAATGATCCACATGGAAATTTTATCATTCAAGTATGCTATACAATGGTCAGGAGTGAGAATAAGTTAAATTGCGAGTTTTGAACCTTCTCCTTTAATTGTAGAAGATAACAATGGAAGCCTTTCCTGGTATAGAACAAGCTAGAGTCGCTGAGCATGTCGCAAATAAAGTGGTCAAAATGTGCTCCAACCGTTATGGAAGCAGGATCATGCAGCGTATTTTCGAAAGGTTTGATTTCGGGTACAGAGTCGAACTTCTCAATAAGCTCAGTGGGTCGGAGTGTTTCCTAGCGGTTGACAGTTGTGCTACCCATGTTATGCAGGTGCGTTTGAAATTTCAATTTTAGGACATGTATTGCCTTTTTGCTCATCAGATTGGAATTAAAGTACAAGAAAGTTTTTTAGAAGTTGTTTGCTCTTTTTCCACCAACAAAATATAGCTTTATCGTGATAGCGCTTACACTTTCGAAAGAGAATTTCAAGCAAGTTGTTCAAAACAAATATGGATGCCGCGTTATTCAGTCTGCTTTGGAGGTAAAATCCTACTTTTCTCATGGTCTTAATGGGAATTAGATGTACTGAGTACCACATGAAGTTCCTTCGGAACAAATATTTTAGATTTAATTCAAATGAATGTACAATTAATTTGGATTTAATTCAAATGCATACTAAGGCCATTATGTATTTAGCTAAACTTTTCAGGAACTTGAAATATCAGCATGTACCACGCGCTGTGCCAATACTCCAAATGAATTCAAGGCAGCAAGACGACTTTTGAATAAACTATTGCGACGACTAACAGAGAACTGCATGGAGTTTATAGATCATCAATTTGCGAATTACGTCATGCAGCACGTTATTACTTCAGAATTCCATCCTGAAGCTCGAGATTACATTATTAAGCATGCTATTCTGTACGTCTTTAGTCATTTTGTATATCATAACAAGATTTGCAGACACTTATGTAGAAAAAGGAGGTGATAACACTAATCAAAAATTGGATACAAGACTTTCTACGAGAAAGAAAGAAATTGTGAAGTCATGATTCGCTTTACATCAAGGATTATAAAATATTCAGTTGATCGGCCTTCTATTTCTTACGCATTCCTTTCTTTTCATTTTAAGAAATCTTGTTTTTCTTTACAGAAGCAATGTGTTAACGCTATCACAAGAAAAATTCGCTTCTCATGTCGTAGAAAAGTCATTGCAATATGCATCGCCGAAAGTATTGCATTGTTTGATGAGTGAAATTTTTGATGGTTATGTCAAGGATGAGTGAGTTAGTTCTCTGATTTAGTGCTCCAGACTAATAGAATTTTTGAGCACTTAATAGTCTTACTGTATTTACATAAAGAGCAAATTTTATAAGTATGCAATTGAATATAGCTATCATTGTATGCATTTTTTTGGAAAACTGTCTTCGAATCGTCCCTTATAATTATTGATCTTTCAATTAGATTGGCTATGATTCGAGTCGTCCAATGACTTTAAATCTATAGGAAGCCTTATGATGCCAATCTAAATATTTCCAGCAAAGGGCGTGATGCGCTTGATATAATGCTATTTGATCAGTATGGCAACTATGTTGTGCAAACAATGATTAACGTATCAATTGACGTACACGATGACAGACGTGAAGGTGACCTGATATGGTTGGCTCGCCTCTCTGAACGAATCTCTCGACATGAATCTCGGCTCTTGAGATATTCGTCTGGTAAAAAAATAATCGAAAAGATGAAACAGGTGCTTTAATTAATATTATTAGTTTTGCAATTACCAAGAAACTAATTTGTGGTTTTCAATAGGTTCAACAACTTACGTTTTAGACCGAATTGTTGGGATTTTACAATCTCATAAATATCGTAAAAAAGCTGGAGTTCTAATTTCGGATTGATTTAAATTTACCGATATTCACAAAGGTCAGATTACCAAACTATTTTTAATGTCAGTTTCTTATTTTATTTAAATAGAGGTGTTGGAGATTACTGAATTTCAATATTACCAGGATTATGGGTTTTGCTCAGATTTCGATTATTTTTGAAAGAGAAATTTTTGTTTCATGGAGTTGCTTGCTTCTTTATATTTGTTGATTCGATTGGGCTCGAACGGGAAGAGAGTGGAGGAAAAAAACATAGTAAAGGAGGGAAGCGGATCAGTGTCTCTTTCAGCAGATCAAATTGAAAGAAGAATTACAAGTCGTATTTTATTGATTTTTTGCTTTTAAGCGAATATATATTGTCGACACTGATAATGTGATTTACAGTGTGCCGTTTGATTGGAATTATCAAAATTAATTCACCGGGACCGTGTTGAGCAATAGTTTGGCAGATAATTCTGGGACGTTTTTATCACGCCACTTTGTCAAGTGCCTAATGTCCATTTTTTTTTTTTTTTTTTTTTTTGTGATCTTGTGTTCTTGGTTTCCAGTTCTTGCTTTTTTTCATCCATGTGTTTTGAAAATTTCATATTCATGTTTAATCGTTTGCAAACATTGTTTTATAGTTTGTATTAGTGTTAGCTTCCAGCTTCCATCCACTTTGTTGCCAGTCTTGCCTGGCATTGTCTTTAGCTTCCAACTACCTGTACAGCTAGTTTTGAAGGGAATTATTGGTGTTGGCTGCGATCATCCTTTATTCCTGCAGTTGTACCGTCATTTTTCATATCTATCATATGGTGTAATTACTGTATGAATTAAAGTATTCATTCGATGCTTTTGAGACGTGCAAACTTTCATTTTCAATTTGTGTGTATTTTGCAGTGTTAATAAAATTTTTTGATGCGACAGTGTTACATTTTCCGGCTTTATATGTATGGGTAGGCATTTTTCCAATTATTGTCTTAAAATTTCTTTCGGTAACAAATAACACAGAGCTATATCAAGATACCTGGAAGAGAACAGTGCGGACACGCTTTCTCTTGTCAAAGATTCAATGAATTCTTATCTTTTTTCTGGGAAAAAGGAAGTACTGCATTTGTGCAACTGGGCAAGTGCTCACTCACTAAATTCACCTTTCGTTTTGAGTGGTAAATGTCTAAAAGGCTTATGCTTGGTAATAAAAATTAAGTGCAAAAATAGCATCTCTGTTTTTCTTTCATCGGCCCTGTGCTTCATTACTTTTTTAATTTTATACATTTTCACAGTCAATAATCCTACTCGCAGCAATCTTCTGCTAATTGTTTGCAAGAAAACATGATCATATTATTTCATTGAGAAAGAAGTATTTGAACTGAAGTGTCATTAGAAATGTGAAATTTTTATTGCTTGTATTTAATGAATAATGGTCCTTTAGAAATTGATAAATTCAATTATAATCAGATTTTCATAGTATAGAATATTGCTTATTACCTTTAATATTTTCCTCATTTTCCGTATTCTCGCAAATAATATTGTTGTTTATTCGGGTTGTAAGATTTCTAATCATCTTAGGTTTAGCGAATCAATATCTCGCTTTCTCCTTTTGGTGTATAGTCTCATTATCAGCTTATAAAGTCATTTGCAGACCAGTTGACATCACTAGCACTTCTGGAAAATACGAAATGCCGCGAATCTTTGATCTATGAACTGCAGAACTATTGAACATATCATTTGTTTCGCCACTTCTAAAGCTCCGATCTACAATCATTTTTCAGCAGTCCCAGTTCTGCGAACATCGTTAATTAATGCAGCATGAGCATGGCATCTATTCTATGGTCTTTCGTAGAAACAATGATAAGGTTTAACGGGTATTGTCACATTTTAACTTCTCTTGGCCATAACCTTTCTGGTGGCCAGAAATCAGGCAGAATCAAAACGTAATTAGTAAAATTCGGGATTCGAGGGAAAATTGTCAACCCTTCCGAAGCAGTTTTTATTATTCGTCAAATTTGCTGAATTAATGGAAATTAAATCTAATCATTACTAAAGAAAGTATTTTCAATTTTATTGGAATATAAATTTTTGGATGCTATTTTCTCATAAATCCAAAAAAAAAAAAACATCTCAAAACACTGATCTCTTTTAACTAATCTTCCGTTCATATGCCGTGGTCCAATATTTATTAGTTAAATGCCGTTGACAAAAATGTGGTATTTAAAAAGATAGAGGTTGGGCTGATTAAAAATAGATCTGTAATTAACGGTGTGAAATCTCAATTCTCCAAAATTGAAATATTTGTTAATATGCTACTGATATTTGGTTTACTTCCTTATTATGTGATAAATTTGAACCATTATCATTATCACTGTTATTATTGTTATTTGTTTTTTTCTAAAGCAAATTTACAGGATTTCAGCAAGATATGTTCTCATATCTAACATTAATTGCTTTGCTACTTTTGTTTCACGTAAGTGATGCATTTTCACGAAGGATGGTTAGTAATGCCAAATTAGTTGCGCCTGAATCATTTCCGTATATAGCCGAGTTATATATTGTTTGGCCAGGTAAGTCTGAGCGACAAACCTTAAGAAAAATTCCTAATTTTTTGGCATGAATTAACACAACAAATAAGTGAAACTGATTTAAAACAGTTTGGATCAACATTGATTTTCTTTTTTGCAGATCGGAAGATATTATGCACAGGTAGTCTCCTATCTCGTTCAATAATGATGACTGCTGCGCACTGCATGGTGTAAGCATTGAATTTATAAGGCTTAATCTTAGAAGTTTAAACTTTTATTTTTTATGAGATTGTAACTCAGGACTGTTTCATAAATTTCGAATTTTTAGTGATGAAAAAACGAAGAAACAGCTTGGTAAAGTGAAGAAAGTGATATTTCGACAAGACCGTGGACGATCTTATGCAACTTGGGTTAGCGGTAAAATTCACGGTATGTTAAAGATATCCGACCTAGAAGTAAGCCCACTTTTTTGTTCTCTTCTGTTTTTCCTTTAATTTTGCTAGTAGCTTATTTTTCTGTTGTGTGGAAGATGGTATATTTTTAGACCAGTCACAAAATCAATAGCATAGGAGTAGATAAAGACTATCCGTGTTGGATAGTTCACTTACCAGATGTCATGAAATTATCATCGCTGCTTTCAAAATCCAGTAGATCTTAAAAAGCACGTCTTTAATTTTCATAAATGTTTTGTTTTAAATACTAAAAATTTATACTTACTAACTTTGTTCATATCAGTTGTATAAATAATTTGTGCAGGAAAAGGAAGGGATTTTGGATTATGCATTATTTGAATTAGACAAACCATTGCCAGTATGTCGGGCTAGGGATGGAAGAGTATTTTCAATTATCAAATTACCGGTGAAGGACATAGGAACTCGTAAATGGAAAACTTTGCAACCATCGAAGGAACTACTCGACCAATGCTCATTATTCGGTTACGGAGCTTCGGAAAAAGGTACAGAATTTTGAATTCAAAATAATCAAATTCTTTTGCCTAATTCATGCGCCAAATACCAGTGCATAGAAAAAGAGTGAATTAACTTTGCAAGAAATATTATAAAATTTGTTTATCAATTGAGATTCAGATCTGTCTGCTACAAGTTTCAATAAGAATTATTATATTATTCGCAAAAGCAACTTCAACCATTTTCTCTCTAACTTCAACCAGTTCTAATAAAATGCTGGATATCCAACTCTTTTGTAGGTGGACCCGATGGTAGGCTGCGGAAGCTAACAAATATTTCAGTTTGGGAAGTTAATGGACGGCTTCTGATACCGATGGAAAATAATGCACAATATATACGCCAAGGTCGTATATGTGGTGTAAGTTAATTTTACAGAATAACGAAAGCATGCGGAAATAGATCTCTCCCAAATGATGTTGATTTAACAAATTACTTTAATCGTAATTAGATTATTAGTAAGGCATTTATATTGATTGTATTTAAAATATCATATCATCTGAAACTTGGATTTTTTTGAAGAGATTGTTTTTTTTTTTTTTTTTGTTAATTTAATTTTTGATGGAATATACAGATAATAAATGTTCATATTCCCTTTTATCATTCATTCATTTGTTGGAGCCATGAATTCATTTCAGGGTGATTCTGGTGGGCCTTTCGTTTGCGGCACAGAGTTCGGTGAACGGATTTATGGCATTCTGTCACATTCCGAACCATTGTTGGAATCTCATCTTTCTTCTTGCTATGGCGAGGTACGCATAAATATTTTTTCAGACGCATTTTTTGTGGATTCAGCTCAAGAAGTTAAATTCCTAACAAATTACACAATTAAATAAAATAGCAAACCTTAGTCAAGAACGTCTCTCTACATTCAAAAATTTCTTTGAAATTTTCAATATTTCCGTTTATCAGATATATACCGTTTATCAGGTTTTTTAATCATTACAAAAGTTCTGCAGGAAAATGCGTTTCTATACGATGTGATGGGTGATGTCCGCAGAATGCTGCCTTACATTCAAGATTCATTCGCTAAAATGAATAAAACAACTGAGCTAATTGAAGATTATGCAAGATGCGACTTCTAAATCTGCCATAACCTTTTACCATCATTTTTTATCAAAACTACTGCGCTTGCTTATTCATTCGGGAATCTCTGCATCATTTTGATTCTTTGTGTTTCAATGTAAAACATAGTCTATATGGAATATCTTGTAATTTGCAAAAATTACTCCAACTTTAAATTGTGCTTCTGGAAATAAATTCAAATAAACTTGTATTTGTGGAACAGAATACATTTTTGATGTCGACGATGAATTCTTTTGATTAATATAAATTTATCGATGAAATTAAACATCTTTAAATCACCAAAAATAATCAATTATGACAACACATCGATATCTCCTCATAATCGATTATTTTTACCAAGCGTAACATCGTTTTTTAGAACTGTTAGTTTCCTAAATTTTTTCAACAATTTTTAAAACTTTTTAAGCTCTGTGAAATATTTGCCAGCCCAACATTATCTTCACATGAGTCTCATGACACATTATCAGGTTTATTATAATAGTACTAGAAGAGGTCTGTTGTGTGCCTAAAACATACAAGCAAATTACTGGCTTTTTTGGCCTAATTACAACCTTAGCCATTATCAGAGCAGAAATACAGCACTGAGTGAAATAATTAATTTGAGAAGAACAAACATTCATTCAATTCCGCCCTTTCTTGTGCAATTTCTACTTCATGTTGACGGTTGGCTTCATAATTTTCTCGTAAAATGGTACGCCATTGATCTAAGCCAAAATAACCAACTAATACTGACATAAGATAAAGGATATCACAAGCCTAAAAAAGTAGGTAATACAAGAAACCTACACATTTTTTTACTAAACTAATACGGAAATACCTATAGAATTAGTAAGTAAATAATCAAATAACAGTTTAATAATAGATTCGCACAATGCTTACTACTTACTCGTGAAAATGCAGGAATACATTTGATGATTGCTATCGTGCAGTATGCAACCGACATCGGTATCAGAAATATCAATGAACCAATGGCGAAAGGCACCGCTGCTAGCATCATGATCGGGTACAGAGCCACTGCCTCAAGTAAAATGCAAATGATTTATAATTCGAAATATTGCTGTATATGATGAAATCCATCAAAATTACATGCTATAGTTGATTAATCCCGTTAGATCAATTGCTAAATTAAATAAAGTGATATTATTACCAAGGTAGTAATTACCCATGGCGGTTTACCCATTCCACGCATGCATTCTCGAAACAATAAAATTATATGGTAAGGGAATGTGATCAATACTAATAACGGTCCAAAATACTGTAAAAAATAATGTCATAACAGGAAGATATATATGGCAAAGTTTCTCAGATGTCCGAAAAATACTAAATGTTTAAGTAAGGATTATCGATTGGTGAACTCTGGCATTCATCATAAAATTTTTTTAACAGATTTTTAAAGAACAACTATTTGCATTGAATCAATACTTATCATATAGAAGCTTGGGAAGCATAAATGAGCCATCAAACGTACAGCAAAGGTTCCACGCATGAAAGAGTAATATATGGGAAATAAATTCAACAAACTAACAATTAAAGTTGTGCTAACGAGCGGTAAGAAAATAATGAGCAAGCATCCTTCGGTGAATGCCAAAAATTTGAGTATGAAACAGATTTTAAATAAATCATCCCATCCAAGTTTGCATGTTCCACCTGCAGATATCCATGTTTGAATTATTTCCTCATAACAAAACTTTTTCAGTCTCTCCATTATTAAATTATAACGAACTCTATACAGCTCAAAACAAGCCCATGAAGTACTATAGCTTGTGCCAAAAGAGATAGTAAATGAGAGGAGAGACTTTTTAAACAAATGATATGAAATAATTTGACGTTATTATTAGGAAGTTTTCACGAATACAGTGGAGTGCTGCACAATTGAACTTTTATTAGAAGTATGAAACTGAGCAGATAATTTTGTGTTCAAGTAAATAGTTATTAAAATATTTTAATTTCTAATATGCAAATATTCACCAACCGATCTGATTCCTCTACCTTCTCTTAAGAGTAAAGAAATAAGTAAGTACCAGCGAAATGTTGCAGTGATTCTGTAGGCTCATTACATAACCAACAAAATCGTTGTTTACATCTTATATTAACGCACTGTACAAAATTGCAACCATTGTACTCTGTATAAAGCGCCTATAATTGTCCCTTCAACTACTCATTTTTAATGCTAGTATGAAACCATAAGACCCTCACAATTCATTTACTCAATGCACAGTTAGCTTCTTTTGAATAAATTCATCAAGGAAATTTTTACAATTTGCTTCCTTCTTCACTTTAACTTCAACTATGTTCAAAAACTTTTAGCCTTGTTCATTTAATTATTAATGATATTGCTTTAATAACTACCACCTGATTCAACTATTAGTAGACTTATCTCTAACCTTACAAAGTGGACACCTTTGTATCAATCCTGCAAATGCATAATAAATGCTATGTTTTCGGTGTTCATGTAATAGATACTCGCGTTTCGCTCTTTTCATAAAAGTCTCTAAATCGTCATTATCAGGATCAAGCACGGCGTCAATATCATTTTCATGGATATGCTTTGGACATGTACTCTTTGTACATTTTATTCGTACTTTATTTTCCTCCTCAATCCAATACTACAAAGTTTTAGTGAAAGATTCATTTTTTGTAATTAAACTAATTTAAGCTCTATGATTTAATTTGATCATCTAACCGTTGTTCAGTTTATTTTAATTTAATCCAAGCATAATACACACTGTTCAATTTCTCCAAGTTTACTTATTTGAATTTCTAAAATTCGCTTCATTTCAAATTAATTCTAATTCCTCTCCTAAATACTTGATGGAAAGTAATATCCTAGGTTACCATGATATGTTCGAGAATGCATGTGATGCAAACAAAATGTCCACATTGTCTCAACTTAATGCGCCATACATTCAACACCTTGCATTTGCAGCATCGCAGTCCTGCGGGATTGCTCTTCCTAATTTCATAAATGATAATGGCAGAAAACAAATTTCACTAGCTGATTAAGAAAATTAAATTATAGTAGGAATAAATTAAAAGGTGAGGCAGAGATTGCAGAAATCTGCCATAAACTGAAAGCATAATTAAATGACAAGGTGAATATTGCCGTTCTTTTAACTGGGGAAAGATTTAATTAGAAATTAAGCATAACAGATTTTTGGTTGTTGAAAGAATTGTCCAGCGTAATTAGCTTTAATATTAATTAGTTTTAGATATTTGTTTATATCAATTTCCTCAGTCCAATACTTCTGATTTTATTCTAATTAATCGCTGGTTGTATATTTTAATTTGATAATGTTGCCGAACCAATATAGCAAATTTATAAAAGAAATAAAAAACATTTAAGTACATTACATATCATCGTTTTCTTTAAAAAATACCATTACTAGATCAAGCTATTACTATAAGCCTCACTTAAATTCAGAAAAGAATGAGTGTTTTAGTTTGTTTGTTAATTTTTTACTATTTGCTTTTATCGCCTGTCGCTTATCATGACAGATTGTATACGTTTAGTCTATGAACTACTTCAACCATTACCTTCCTTCAATTTCCTTTTTATGCTCTTCCGCCTTCTTTTGGTTCTTGACCATATGTCTAACTGAAACCTTTTAGAACTTTTATGACTATTCTTTAAAGACTGATGAAACATCGAGAAATATGTAAATGAAACCAATTAATCACTGCTAAGTGCTGCAAATTAGTGACAAGTGTAATGTTCAATCAGTAATTTCTCATTGTTTATCGATTCAGAGTTTAAAATGTTTAAAAAGCTTGACACTGATGAAAAAATCAATGAAGGAATTCCTGTACAACACTGGTAACAACAAATGCCAAGAACAGAAAATATGAACGACTATTCCTAACTTATGTGATTTTCTGAATGAAGCAATAATTTCTGAACATCTCATTATATGTAAGAGAGACTCCTCATCCCACTTCAAACATTTATTCCTCACCCAATAATCAGGTTGTTGTGCAACCTAATACAGGTATAACTTCAAGTCCAACTCAAGTCACAGTTATCGAACTCGTCCCTTAAGCACACAACAACGCTACCTTGTTTACTCAGTGTTCACCTGTTGTTGGTACGTCGAAGCGAGCTGTGCTGTCGTCTGCATTACCTTTCTGCCTATGCTTACCTTAGTAAGTTGGGATTTAGATTCAGTATGTTCTGTGCAATAACTTCCATAGTGTGCTTTTCAAACTACTTTGTCAGTAAGTGGGAAAGTTGCCCAACTCAATTACTTGTTTCTATTCAACTTTATCCATCACACTTCACCATCGTACACTCTCCTCTTCACTACAAAAATTCACCATCATTTCTGCTCCCACCTGTCACCTATCCCGTCATTTCTACTTATCTTTTGCATGCAGTGAATCCTTCAAATGCTACCACTTACTGTCTACTTCTGGTATCCATAAGCATATCTCCTTTGCACACTCTCTCGTGAATTTTATCATTCTTTATTGTCTCTGTTTCTGCTGCACTCTATCTGCACGAAATGTTCCGTAAGCAGCATTGACATGTGACACTGTGACAGTATCGTTTGAGAAGAGGAGGATATGAGTGTGTTAGTCAGGTACAGAGGTCGTTTTAGAACCGCCGTAGTTGTCCGGTAGCTTTCGTGCATTCATTTTTGATTAGAATTTCTGTTTAAACTGCTGCTCAGTTGAGTACTTTTTGTTGGGCTTAAACACTCACATGTGTTACGGCACACATTTGATTCCACGAAAGATCATAATTTCATAAAAAGTCACTCTTTGAAGCGTTACCTTTTGCGCTTCCTTTGTCAGTTACAAGCAGGTGTTCCGTGCGATTTCGTTTCTTTTTGATGGTCATATTAATGACATGGAATAAGTTAACTTGACAACGATCAGCGATGGAGTTAGTTGCAGAACTTTTGATAAAAACAAAGTAAAATACAGAAGTAATTTGATAGTAATCAACTAAAATGAAGGAGCACTTGCGTTTGTTTGTTGTTTGAACGCGCTCCCAATAGCTCGCTCAAATGTTTGTCATTACAGATAATGCTGTTAAGGATAAGTCTAATCCTGATATATCTGCTTGAGTGTGTATCTGTGGAAGAGAAAGAAAGCGAATTTCAACAAAATGGTGGTGTCTTTGTTTTGAATGAGAGAAATTTCATGTCCTTCCTTCAGCAACATCCAACAGCACTAGTAGAATTTTATGCTCCCTGGTAAATACAGCTTTTTTCGTTGTTCCTTAAAGGCCTTTAATTGCTTTTTAAGTGATTGCGTGTTGTACGTGCTTATCGTACAGAATAATTTACTTTATAGTATTACATAGGTTATTGTAGAATTCTGCATTTATTTCACAATAAACTTTTATTTCTGAAAAATGAATTTGAAGGTGTGGCCACTGTAAAGCGCTGGCACCGGAGTATGCAAAGGCTGCTAAGAAACTGAAGGTGCCATTGGCTAAAGTGGATGCTACCGTTGAAACAAAACTTGCAGAAACGTAGAATTAAATTTTATTGCTTTTATTTTTAAAACTTTTTTAATGTTTAAACCACCTGTATAATAAGTCAGATATTCATTATCAATTTGATACGCTTACTCATGTGTCATATGCTCCATGCTTACCACAACAATTAAAACAGTGAAAAGCCTATGTTCTGTTAACAACGACAAGTAGTAGTTAAGCGTTTAAATTAGATTAAATTCTGAATATATATGAAGTTATTTCAGTTACAACATCGAAGAATTTCCAACACTAAAATTTTGGCAAAATGACAAAGATCCAATCGTTTACGATGGAGGATTAGAATCTAACGGTATCAAATATTTCAGTGAATTTTGAAATTTTTGTAGCTAATTTTGAATAACTTCATAACTAATTTCAGAGATTATACAGTGGGTTTTGGAGAAAACAGATCCCACTTATAAGGCACCTCCGCTAGCTGTTGCGAAATTAACGAAAGAAAAATTTAGTGGATTTATCACTTTACACCAACTCGTATTAGTCAAATTCTATGCGCCATGGTGTGGTCATTGTAGGAAACTCGCACCTGAATATGAAAAAGCTGCGAGAAAATTAAAAGTATGTTTGAACTACTTCAAGTCACTTTTTTAATAAACTTCAAAAGGACATAGTGGGAAGATTGCTTAGATCTAAATCACGAACTAGATTGAGAAGAAATTTTACAAGACAGGAATATTTTTTTTCAGAGTGCAGGTATAATGCTTGCAGAAGTGGATTCTACAGTTGAGAAGAGTTTATCAGCGGAATTTGATATCACTGGCTATCCAACATTGTACATCTTCCGAAACGGAAAGAAATTTGATTACAAAGGACCTCGTGATACAGAGGGTATATTTTCTGCCGAAAAATTAGCATGCAAATATCTTTTATTTTTCACATATTTTTTAATGTTGCATTTTAGGTATTGTGAAACACATGCTTGAACAGGCTGAACCTGCTTTAAGAAAAATTAACAGTGTGAAGGAGGCTCAGCATTTTATGCGCAAAGATGATATAACAGTCATTGGTTTTTTCAGTGATGGAAAAGCAGAACTACTGGAATCTTTAAGTGAAGCAGGTTAGCTTCTTATAACTGATGGAAGACTTTATTCCGCCTCTATTATCTGTATCACATCCACCTGCAGAGTGAAGATGACAATGAATTTTTCTGCCGTTAAAAGTTTTCCTTCTACAGTTTCCATAGAAATCTTTTAGGAAAAATAGTTTCTACAGCTAAATGAAAATATTAGAAAATGGAAATGAGAATACTAGTTGAAAATATTTTTTTCATACTAGTTTGTTTTTATTCTGGTTTTCAATTCAGATCGACATTTGCAATTTAAGTAGCTTAACTGATTTCCTTTCTTTTTAGCTGAAATGGTGCGAAATGATTTCAGTATTGCTGTTTGTTTGCAAGTGAACACTAAAAAATATTTTAAAATTGATTCTGACCAAATAGTTATTTTTTTCCCTGAAATATACTGGAGCAAATACGAGTCGAAGCAAATTGTTTACCAAAAGGCATGCGTTTTCAGTTATTATCCTCCAGCGACATAACTTACTGCTTATCTGGGAAATCGATCTGCCAGTTTGCTGGATTTAATCGTTAAAATGCTTAGCATATAACCATAATTCTGATATTTTATAGGAGGATGGTACTGTGGAAGATTTGGTAAGATTTTTTCAAGAAAATTCAACACCTCTTGTGGGTCAAAGAACCAAAAAAAATGTTGCCACCAGATATACTAAACTCCCTCTTGTTGTAATTTATTATAATATTGACTTCTCAGTAGAATATCGCGAAGGAACACAATACTGGAGGAAAAAGGTTGGGTTATTTGTCCAGTTATTTTACATTCTTTAGGTTAAGCATTTTAAGTTTCCAGAATATCTATTACATATATAATGCTAGTTTTTCTTCGTGTTAATGGATGTTGGAAAGTTTAAGTTTGATATATTTCTTATTTTTTTAAAAATGTACTAGCATTGTTCGTTTGAGATCTATCCCATTTCCCAAATTTAATACGTCAGCTTTTTGAGATGAGTTGCATATTATTTTTTGATTTGCATTTTTCAGGTGTTAGATATTGCAAATGAATATAGGAAACATAAGTATCATTTTGCAATTTCAGACGAAAGCGAGTTTGCAGATGAGCTTATAGCGGTTGGTTTATCATCATTTTTATATATTTAGTTTAGATTATCTTCTTCTGAAATCACTAAAAAATGAAGTGCTGGTGGTTTTACATTTACGACATTTGTAGAATGCATGCTTAAATAACTCAAACGTTTTTGAACAGAAACTCGTTGTGATTTTGGCTTCATATATTTCAGGTGGGATTGGGTGACAGTGGGCTTGAGCATAATGTTTTAGTTTTCGGTTATGATGGTAAAAAGTACCCGATGCGTCCGAATGAATTCGATGATGAATTATCTGAGAATTTACAAGCTTTCATGAAAAAACTATCTTCAGGTATACAAATTATAGGGGTTTACTACTCCGAATAAATTTACAGATATTTATTAAATGAGTACTGTCGTTTAATGTTATGAATTTTAACTTAATAAACTCGTTTTAGTTCATCTTTTTTTGAAGGTAAAATAAAACCTTTTATGAAATCTGCGCCATTGCCAAAAGATAATAAGGGTCCAGTGAAAACTGTCGTTGCATCAAATTTCGCTCAGGTTGTGTTTGATGAAACGAAGGATGTGCTGATGGAGTTTTATGCACCGTGGTGTGGGCTTTGTAAGGTATATTTATTGTTTTTTTAAAGTTTTAATCCTCATATAAAAACTGCTGAATTACATTGACATTAAAAATCTGGAATTGAAAATTAAAGATTTGAAATGCGTTGAACCTTATAAACTTCCGAGACAAACCTTGCTATAATGTTTCAATTCTAGGCATTCGAGTCAAAATACAAAGAGTTGGCAGTGAAATTAAAAAGTGAATCAAATTTGCTACTTGTAAAAATTGATGCAACAGCCAATGATATTCCGAAGAATTACGATGTGAGTGGTTTTCCAACAATTTATTTTGCACCAGCTGGTAAAAAGAAGGAACCAATCAAATACAAAGGAAATCGTGACTTAGATGACCTCATTAACTTCATGAAAAAGCATGCCTCTATTTCGTTTCGAAGTAAAATCGAATTGTAGATGCTCAGTTATTTTTTAGAAAAGGAATCTTATGCATGCTTACATAGACTCTAAAACGAAACGAAGGTTTTTCAGTAAAATCAGTGTATAGAGAGGGGAGGGGGGGGAGGAGATTTGGCCTTCTGAAAAAGAGCCCGAATTATGTGAAAAGTGGACCTTCTGGATGTATTCCATCACTTTCTTGTTTTGATGTGATTGTCTTTTGAATCTATTTTGTCCTTTCTCACTATGAATTTTATTCTGTTTAAAAATTTTTTATTGTTTATTAAACCTTTAGTTCTACTTCATTTTTGATTTTCTCCCAATTTCTGCAATTCTTTTTGTTAGAAAATTTGAAGATTTCAAAAGAAAGACTCGTCCCATTTCCTTTGAATGGCAAGGATTTTTCAAAATATTTTGTGATTTTTTTTTTATCAAACTTGTTTAGAGCTGCAGCCTTTTTATCGTTTACTTATTGATTATGCTTTATCACTTCCCTCAAATTTGCTCGCTCATTTCCAAGAGTATTCTCTACATTACTTTTGAATTTAATTCACCAGTTGTTGACAAGATTCCTTCTGCTACAACAGATTTTTAAATGATCCTATCCAGATCTGCACTGGAAGTGATATTGTTATTACATTTTATGTTTCTTATGTCTAGTGTTCAATTGTTTGTTATTTTGATTATTTTTTGTTCCAGTAAAGGTAGCAATCATATTAGTGATGCATCAAAAAACTAAATATCACAAATTAATGATGAACCTCCAGCGATATTATTTGAGTACATATATTAAAGGAGGATTACGATAAAGTTGCTCGATGCTGGAAACCAATTGGATTATTTATAAGTGATTTTTGGATGTTTAACTCCAATGTTATGTGGTCATTTAATTTGCTTTTTCCTTGACTGAAGTGAAATGTGTAGAATTGATGGGTGACATGACATGACTTTGGTGCTTGAGACAATTTCAATGTTACGCATAGTAGATTTCATTGAAATTAAAGCTTTTTTGGTTGAATCTTTTCGTGAATTATGGACAACGTAGAGGTCACTGGCAGTATCAACATCTACTAGTCTTTTTTGTTCGCTTACCACAGAAGGAACTGTTGCAGGAACTTTCACGTTACACGTCTGCAAGTGATGAAACCTGGGTGTTAAGATCACAGGTGATTCGAGATCATTTACAGGATAAGTATGCGGGTAATAGCGATGGGATTCCGGAAATGATTTTTTTCGGAGAATTTTAAGTTAATTGGGATTGGTAGTGTTATAAATGATGCATCATTGCTGACAGTTCATCAATAAGTAAAAAGAAAGAAAGCAGGGAGAGAGGAAGAAGATAAAAACAAAGGTAAACCACTGAGTTGTCCAACAGTGCAGAAAGCTACTACAAAAAAAAAAATGTCTAAGAGATAGAATGAGCGCTTAATGAAAAAGCTGGATGGCATCAAATCGCAGTACTACCACTCTGATCATTCTCCGACATTACGAAAGACAACATTCCTTCCACATATCTGCAGTGTTTCCCCTCACAATGTTGTTTTTTGAGGATAATCGGAGCCACTCAGGAGAGGAAGTAAAATATTACACATCAGTGAGTATTTTGAAGAAACAGTTAGGACAGACTAAAGGATGGATGGGATAGTGACGAGAGGGTAGCTTGAGACCAAGCTATAGGTGCATTTTGTCTTGCTTTACCTGTGGTTTTCTTCCTTCCCTTCCTTCTTTCTACCATTCCTTTCTTTTTCATTGTAGCTTAACTTTCATCAGTGCAATTCTTTTTAAAACATGAATCCATTTTTGTTTTCTAAATGAAATATTTTCTTTTTTTTGCATTACATGTGACGACGTTACCTTCGTTTCATTCCTCCTTCCAGTTCATTTTCAGTTTGCAAATATCTTTTGTTATTGTTAGACTACTCGACAGGTATGTTGCCTTTGTTACTCATATTTGATTAAATCAGTTCTTTTCTTCACGTGAAAAATTTTAGATGACAATAAAGGATGTGCCAGAGAGTTTTTCTGTCCTTTCATTGCAAGAACCATAAAAGTGCAGGCTGTTGCTGAAATTGGTAGTGTAGGATGAGAAGAAATATTTGCTACATTTGCTTTTGTGTCCTTTTCATCCAGCTTATCACATTATCTAATCAATGTTGACAGTACAACTGACATCCATCAGCGTACTATCTCAACTACATGAGATTCAATTTCCGTCATCCTACGCCTCATCAACTATCTTTCATCTGAATGTCTTTAATAGTATCACATCAAAAGGACACAAAATCACTTAAGATCATTAAGTAAGGCCCTCTTTTCAAAATTCTCAAAAATATGGAATTACGTGACCTAAACATCTTTATTACTGTGCTACTGTATATTAACTATTGTATATTTATTATTGTGTTACTATATCTAGAAAGAATATTGGTGGTGCAAGGCTTATTTTTCAAGTAGCATATCTTATAGAACGAATTAAACTTAGCTTGATAATAATATCTCCATGAATTCTATGTTAGATCGTATTCAAAGTACTGTGAACTTTGTGAGAAGCTGGATAATATTAACATCAGACAATAATTCTTGACATTTCTTGACATAGCTAATCGGTAAATATAATTCCGACTTACGAGAAATCTTTTAAAACCTCTTTGAGTTTTTTTTTTTTTTTTTTTTTTATTTTCTTTAAGGATGGAAGAAAAGGTAGTGGAACTAACGCACAACTGGAGTGCGGAGCAGTGGGATTGGCCCTTACAGCACAACGATGAGGTGATTAAAGTAACCAACACGAATGATAAGTTTGAAGTCGGTTTGGATGCATCATTCTTCACGCCGAAGGAAATCGAGGTTTAATTGAATTTATAGTTTTTATTTTTTTATTTATAATTTATAGTTTGCTGTAGGGTCGGTTAGGCGAGATAATTCTGTGATTAGTTGGTGTTCATAGCAATTATGATAAAAGGTAATGATCGTAGTTTTTGTTAAAAGGGAAAGACATTTGGATAATGAAAGAGCGAAATTTAAAAGATGGAATTAGAAGCTTTTACACATCTGTAAATGAGGGTAAGATGGTCATAAATGAGGAATAAAAAAAAAATGCTTACGTTCTTGGCATTTTTTTAATTTCTTTCTAACAAAATTTCTTAGGTCGATTTTTCATGCAAATATAGCAAAATATCTGATGGAATTAGAGCAAATTCGAGAATAAAGTTTTTTACTTGTCTTATTACCTAATTTGTATATTTACTTTCAGTACACAAACTTCAAATCTGTCTAGGAAAGTATTATCTACTTATCTGAACAATTCCCACTAATTAGAACTGATTGTTGTGAGTACTGAAGAACTTTCATAGAACTAAAGTTGCAAAGATCTAGTTCGTACCCTCAAATTTTAGGTAAAAGTTGCTGGCGATAATCTGGTCATTCACTGCAGACATGAATCACGTGCCGAGCATTATGGAGAAATTAAACGTGAAATTAGTCGTACCTATAAGCTTCCGTCGGATGTAGATACGAAGACTCTGACATCAAATTTGACCAAGCGAGGACATTTGGTCATCGCTGCCAAAAAGAAAGCATGATTTCTTTCCTAAAGTTCCCTCATTGTAACAATTTAAGTTTTGCCGATAAATATTCTGACTATGCTCCATTATCCACTTCTTTGGCACTTTCACGTCTTGCTTATCAGATCTTCAACCAATTTATTTGAATAAGTATTATTAAATATTACCTCTAATTAAATTAAGAGTTTTCCGCCGAACGTATATGTAGAGCTATACAGATATTAATTTGATGAATTGGGAATTTCCTGGTGCTTGCGAATTGATCTACAAGGCTGACTTTACATTCATGATCTAATTTTGATATGCTCATACCTTGAAATAATTTTTATTCATTAAAAAAAAGATCCTACTGGATGGCACCGAACCTTTGGGGAATAAAACTGATTTAATTTCGTGGATGTTTATTTTATACAAAATAGTGTAATCTCCAAAATGAGAAAAGGCAGTTAACCTTGAATGAAATTTTGATAATTTTATTGGAATACATTTATTTCGATGATTAAAGTGAAGAAAGGGCAAATAATCAATGGTAAAGGAAAGAAGAGAAGGAAAAAAAGACAGCTAACTCACTGGAGTTTGTACATTTTTCCAATTGTTATCACTAGTAAAACTATCTTTTCCAACTCGACTAAATATAAACGGAGTGCTGTTAAGGAAGCAATTGAGCTAAAGAGTATTAAATGGAGAATAAAATGAATCAGTAGTTGGTGTCTAGCGAATTAGTTCGTTTCAAATTTATTGATTCTTGTAAGCAGAAAAGTTCTAGAATGATTCAAGCCAGTTCTTCAGCATGGTCTTCTGGAAGATTCCAGAAGCACAAATTAGCATTTAGAATAAATTTCTTGCAGAATACTGGAAAATACAGCTAATAGATGAACAAAATAATAAAGTAAACAATAAAACTACTTCATCAAGACTGTACGAATTTGGCAGATAAATGAAAGACAAAGTGAGATCAAAGAGTCGGGCAAGTTTATTTATACAGCAGTGAATAATATGTAAGGCTAACTTCTCGAAAGATATGGCCAAGAAGTGTAGAATATCCTTGATAAGAAATGGACGAAATGCAAACACGAGTGCTCTCATTAAATTAAGCTAATTAACAATAATTAATAGTTGGAGTTAAATTAATAATTCGAGTAAAGTGATACTTTCAAAATGAATTTCGAGCATGAGCAAATTGTCAGTGTTCCCATGAATAAACCTTCACTTCAAATGATATTATCAGAATGTTTCAAATCGATGACAGAATGATGCTGCGCTTCGAACCCTATTTACTTCTCTGCATGCTTTTCGGATTTCCTTATTGATTGAATTTGGACCACAGCTGAATACGCCAACTGCTTGGACCTACAAAAAACTGTACAACTGAGGTTCAAATCTAAAAAGAATATAAATTAAGAATTATCTGACTCAAAAATAGATCTCGACCTGCATACCCTGCTCATCACTTTTAAATATGCAAATGTCTGATTACCAATTTTTCTTCATCAATTCTATTCGATTTGCTAATTGTTCAATTTCAATGAAATACATTATGTTATGTGAAACTTACATCTCTGTGTTTGTTTTGTATGAATTTGAAGAGGGCCTCGAAATTTGGACGACCGAAATGATTCACAGCATTAAGGCCTGTAAACATACTTCGACCATTGCTGTCACTTCGGAAGTGTTTCTCACAAATGTACTAAAAGTAAACATGTGCAGTAAAACTGTATTATTCATTATTAAGTAATATTAGTAGTGGCCAGTGGGAAGTAACACTTTAAAATTCGAGAAGGTTATGAATTTACACTCAAAAAACCAAATAGCATATCGTACAAGCATTGTGGTTCGAAGATCAAATTTATGAAAGAATTGTGTGACAAAAATATGTATTTCTAGCAAATCTTCCTTGTCCAATTCTTCCACATTGTGTAAAACTTCGATGAACCACTCGTAATTCTTATGTGTCGAGCATACCCAAATGAAGTAAACCTAAAATATTAGATCTCTGAACTGCAACCAAATTACCTTTAGCTGCCCTAAATCATAAGCCTACCGTAGTAAAAAGTTATCAATGCTTTAGTTATTGAATTAACTTGGAGGACTGAAGAAATGAATATTGTGACGAACCATACACATTCACTATACTCCCACACTCCTGTTATAGATGAGCTTTTTCCAAAGAATCATCCTCTGAGAAACCTTAAAATTATACAAGCCCCTTTGTACCTTATGAAAAATCCTTTATATCTATTTCTTCACTTCTTTTTAATTAAAAATTTTTCAAAGCACAAAAGTGAGTTTGCAAGCAGAAACATGCCTTTTCACATTTAACATTTGTATATCGGCCAGACATTTTTTCAGTGACAAGATCAGTGAGTATGGACGCATACGGAGTCACACCAATACCACCACCTATCAACACGGCAATTTCGAAATTACGCCAATCCTAAAATAAAAAGGATGTTGTCGCATTGCTTTATTTAAATTTGCAAAATGCTGCTTTCAGTCTGAATTGCTGATTATTTCATATCAAATTCCACATTTTGGTCTAGCAATGCTATGTGTGCATAAGACATACCTGATTCCCGTCACCGTATGGCCCATGTAAATGAAGTACTGGATAAGGTACCCCATTGGAATGTGAGCAAGCGATCTGATTTCGTAGATTCCAGGTCCATGGGCCAACCGCTTTGATATACAGTTCCAGCGTTGACGCCTGTGGTGCAGAGGCCAAAGAAAATGCATGAAGCTCATTAAATGTACATGAAAATGCCGGGCATGAAATACGCACCCATTGACCAGAACGAAATCGGAATGAATTTGGTCTCTTGAATTGAATGTAGATAATATCTAGAAAATAAATTATTTGAAAATTTTTGAAACTTAAAATGTCAACTACTTTTAGAGTAATGTATAAAGATAAACCCGATACAGATGTTAGAAACTTATCGCAGATGAGATTTGATGAATTTTCGAAACGTTTCGTCTCATTTATCGAAAATAGTCACATCACCTTTATCAGAGAATTATAAGCATATTTTGAGTCTAATGGAATTTTGAAATATTTATCCGAAACCAGAAAGCTGCTTAAAACTAGGAACATTTCATATTTTATTCTAAAATCCATCTAAGTGAAGCGAATGCGCCCATTATTGTCAGTCTCGTTATTTTGTTCTGCAAATCTATTTCTCCTATTTTCATCAATTAATTTTCTTTGATTTAAAACAGTCCTTAGTTCTATTTGTAATTTCGCTTAATAAAATTCCGTTGAGTAGATCTTGCCAATAATTTTTTTTTTGAGTATGAATCACTTTGATTACAATTACTTCAAACTTACATATTCAAAAAATTTTTTCATATGCAAAGAAATTTTTAAATTTTGTGATTTTAGTTGATGCATAAGTTTAAATCTAATTTCATCTAAATTTGGTTATCTTGTTAGCATTATTTTCCGGGAACAACTAAAATGAAGTAGGAGGAAAATACCCACACATCAATGATATAAAAATTTCCCATTCCATCCTATTTTATTAATGTAATGTAGGTTAAACCAGTAAGTCATCTAAAGCATACCTGACGGTAGTATTGCACCGCTCAGAATTTGTAATCTTTTATACTGTTGTCGCATACCAATAATACGGTCTATTACAAACAGAGCAATCGGGCCAGCTACGTAATATAGAAATTTGGGACTCTGTAATTAAAATGTTTAATCCTGGAAAATTTTTTATAAGCTAAATGGAAGCATAAAAAGGATCACTTCCGACTTTTACCAACAGTAGTGAGAAGGTTACGAAAAAGCTTATTTTCAGTGGTGATATGATGTTGCAAGTTAAACAAATTTAAATATCAGCTTTGTATAACCGCAAGCATTTAATAAATGCTAGAAACTACAATGCTATATTCGCCTGATTAAATTACTGTTGAATGATTTCATCTTTAAGTAAAGTTAAGCAAAGAGAAATGAGCGTACAATATGAAATAGCACTTTCCATTAACTTTTCTTTGCAAAATTATTGAAATATGTGAATTCTAAACTAACATCCAAAAGTTTTGGAAGCCCATGAAGCACAGTAACTGCATAAATTAGGATATTCAGAAGATGAGTGATCTTAAAAGCGTGATATGCTTCCCTCATAATAGCTGGCGTTGAAAATACATAGGTGATACTCATAAGAGCTACCAGTAGAATTCCTGTTATTCCAGTTGTGGTACCGTAAAGCCAGTAACTAATTGAGGGCAAGAAATTTGAACTGAAATTGGGTTTTTTTTGAAACTTTTTAAGTATTTCAAACTGAGCAAACTATATGACTTTACATTCCTAAAAAAGAGTTAAATGGATCATTTCACACTCATAAATGTAAGCTAACTGAAAAGTTTACCCAAAAACAGCTTCTTGGAAGAGACATTGTAAGCCATCTTGACTCTGCGTTGCCACATGATAGAAATTGATACAGTGTCCAACCGTATGTACCGTAGCCCAGAAGCCAGCTGTCATTGCTACAAGTTTATGGAATGCTATCGCTGAATCAAGAGGCAGATATTCGCGAAATGGAGTTTCACGTAATAACGTGATAATATTTTGGCAAACTGTGATCAAAATGAGTCCCATACAAAAGGATAAAGATGCGGCAGCACCACGTGTAACTGCTATACCTACACCCATAACACGTCGCAGATCGCGGTGCTCCGTTTCATATCGATAATCTACAAATGTTTAAACATTCATTAAATACTTATAAAAACACTAAGGATGCAATAAGAGCCTAACACTTCAGTTTATCAATTAAATAATGTATAAACTTACGCCAAAATCGTTCAGAGAATAGTAACAGATTAATAGCAGTGAAAAAGAAGATAATAACAATATGCTGACGATATGTTTCCAAATATGATATTGTTGAAAGATACCAGCTGATATGAACACATCCAATCTCTTCGTTTTGTATTGCAAAACTATTCATACTTTCTGTCCTTCAAAAGACAGTATATTTGTGCAATCACACCAGTAGTTCTAAATTTACTTCCAT